CAGAATTAAATCATTTCAACAGAAAGCCTGTGTTTTAAGATGACGGCGTGGGCTTTCAAAGAAGTGGGCTGTTTGAAGGCAGTAGGGTCTAATGGAGGCTGCTGTCGAGTTGCATTGTGGAATCAGGATATCTCCTTCTTCTTAAAGAAGACTTCTTCAAAATCTGATTCTTGTCAGTCCCCCAAATTTACAGAAGTGCAATACTAAATCACTGTGGTGCATCTTTAAATTAAGGAAGGAAGATTTGCTCTCTGTGAAATTTTATTGTGGTCTGAAGAGGCGTTTACTTCTGTCTATAAAGCTCTCTCATCCTCTGTAAACCACCAGCACAAACTGTATGATATATATCTCAGGCCAAGTGAGAAGTGAGCGCTTGATGCCACAACTCTCACTAACAGCTGATATCTAAATATAATTCCCTGGTCCGAATCGAACCAGGGGTGATGCTCCTATCTGGTATTTACCTCAACCATTAAGCTGCTAGCGACTGCTATTTTTAACTATACATAACTATTCCTGTTAAAAAGTTATTATCATTTAGCTTCTCTGTTAAACCACAAAACAGTTTATCTTCATCTCCTCCTCTGGCAGAATAACTCAGAGGAAACCAGCACCGGTCAGATCTCAGGTGTTGCTCCTCTAACCTCTCTAACCTCCATGTCTCTTCCCCTCGTCTCTGCAGGTCATCATCCTGAACCACCCCGGCCAGATCTCCCAGGGTTACGCCCCCGTGCTGGACTGCCACACCGCTCACATCGCCTGCAAGTTCAGCGAGCTGAAGGAGAAGATCGACCGTCGTTCCGGCAAGAAGCTTGAGGATAACCCCAAGGCTCTTAAGTCTGGAGACGCCGCCATCATCACCATGGTGCCTGGAAAACCCATGTGTGTTGAGAGCTTCTCCCAGTATCCCCCACTGGGTGAGTAAAACACTGTGTTTGTTTTGTTGATGAAAGAATTTGTTAAACTGTATTTTAAAGCCAAAAACTCAGTTAATGCATCTTTAAGTTTCTCTGCAGATTTAATCACTTATAATCTACATTCTCCAATAAGCCTGTTAGTTGTGCAGAATTACTATCTAGAGTTTTTTTTAACGATGTTTGGTTAAAGACAGGGAGGTCAGGAGCAGCAATATCTGTTTTTATTTAACATATTAATCAAATAATTCGCAGATGTTTGTTTAAATTGTGATACAAATAACAAATTTGTGTGTGCAAATATCTCATGTCAGTTATTAAATAAAGTTTACATCACACCATCTCATTAAAGTTTTCAGAGAGGTGAAATATACACTTTGTGTTAAATAAGATTTTAATGATTAATCAGCCACTGATAAAGAATAACAAGGGCGATGATCATTTAAATGAACAGTTTCCAGATTTGCACAGGGCCAATCAACCCTCTTGACTTTCACCTAGTCAGGAGTCATGATTCAGAATCTAATCAAATCATTTGTTTTCATCACGGCTGATTGTTAATAAAGATTCAGGCTAAAATGAGCATCAAATGTAAAAATATGAAAATTGAAATGATTTTCATTCTGTTAATTTGCCTAGTTAAATGTGTTTTAGTAAAATGTACTTTGTATAATTACTGTCCACCAGTTTTATTGTAAACACTGATGCAATTTATGTCAAAAATTAATATTTTTGATCAGTTTTTAATTTACTTATAATATATATATACTGTATTTATACTAATTCCACATATGCATTTTAAGCTTTATAGCCCTTGATATGTTTCTTTCCTTTTCATCTGTTTATGTACTTGTTGACCCTGGTGGTGACAGTTGCTCTTACAGTTGCTCCCTTCATTTTATGGATCTGAGCTTGAAACATGTTGTTTAAGCTTCTCACTGACTCCTCTGTTTGTGCCATTTCTTGTCTCTTCCTCTCAGGTCGCTTCGCTGTGCGTGACATGAGGCAGACCGTGGCTGTCGGCGTCATCAAGTCCGTCGAGAAGAAGCTCCCCTCCGGTGGAAAGGTCACCAAGTCTGCACAGAAGGCCGAGAAGAAGAAATGAATTCTCATGCAGGACGTCCAACAAAAAGTCATGTCTCAGCAGCAGCGGGCCGACCCATCCTTCCTTCTTCTTCCCTGCTACCCAGCGCCGTCTTCTCTGAGGCACAGCTCTTTACTTAAGGACTGGCTTATGCTGATTAAAACCCATCGCAAAAGTTTCCGCAGGAAAGGAAGGCATGTGCCTTTTAGGGGAAACTGTGATCATGATTAAGTTGAAGCCAAAACAATAAAAATCTTAAACATTGCCAAATTAAAATGTTTCTTTTGTGTTTTAATATATTAGTGTTAGAAGAAACTGCTTCACACACACACACACACTTCACCCACAACTACAGTCGGTCAGAAAGGTCAAAACACACTGATTATCAGTTTTCAGCCTGTTCTCATGAAATTGTAAGATGATAAGGGATTATATGTTTTCTTTTTTTCTAATCGACTTTTTGTTTCTTTTCCAAAAAAAAAATCACACAGTAAGACACAAACCGAGAAGAGGTATCGATAATAATGATAAAAACAATTCAACTAAGAACACCAAAGACAGGGAAGAAAAAAAAATGACACACACATTGGTATCACCTGGTTAGCCATTGAATATTATATTCATATAGGGGCCCCATATTTTCCAAAAACCTTCCTACCTATTGTTTAATTTAAAAATGAATTATAGTTCATCATAGTTGGCTATTTTGGTCATTTCTCCCAACCAGCCGTTGAAAGCGATGATATTTTTTGTTTTCCAGTGCCTGAGCACAATCCTACAACCTGTGGTCAGAGCCAGTCGTAGAGTTTCTGTACCATCAATCTCATCCCTTTTGGTATTACGCCAAGGGACTATACTCATAAAACGGGTTTTTTTGATTTGCATACTCGTTATATCTACAACCTGTAGGAAAAGTCTAGAAAAGTATTGAAGTTGACGGATGTTTCCATCAATATCTTTGCGATAATACAAAGTAGAAAAAAGGTTTAAATGCTGTTACAATCTGTGGACTCTCCACTCTCCGTTTCATATTCTTGCATGGTTAAAGTGACAGACAACACTTTTTATTTGAGGCATTTATTATACATTTATCTCCCATTTTACTCGCATGTTGTGCTATTTTTTATGAACCTAAGACTTTGATGAACTCATTTCAAGCACCAAAATAATAATAATCCGGCAAATCCACCACCACCGGTCACCTGATCTACAAGTGCGGAGGAATCGACAAGAGAACCATCGAGAAGTTGGAGAAGGAAGCCGCCGAGGTTTGTGTTGACGACACCTGAGTAGTTAAAGTTTTTAACACACAATCACACCACCTAAAACACAATGAGACTGTGAAAACATGAACAGTGTGAGGTTGCAGGTGTAGTTAATGTCACTGCTCTGTTGCAATGTTTGTACTATTGTTATCAAGGTTATAAACACTATATCTTGAACATCTTCAGGCGCATCAGGGGCAGTTTTAGTTTTATTGGTGACTTTACATCTTCTACTTCCCAGTTCATCTACGGAGCACCTCAGGGCTCATTCCTTCACTATATATGTAGTAATATACTGACAAGCCCCTCCATCTGCCCCTGCAGGACGTCTACAAGACTAGTGGTAAGTAGAATCAGGTGGTACAACATCAATTCACCATGCATCACATCACCTCATATTACTTCATATGACACACAACAAACATCCTCCTTTTTTTTTTTCACAGTGAGAAAATATCAAAACAACTCAAAACAAAATCAGAAAAAATCACAAATTTACAGACTGTAACTGTCGGTGTCGTCAAGTCAGTCGAGTCCTCCTCCATGTTGCCCCGCCATGTTTCTGTCGTAGCCTCGAAGAGACAAACCAAACACTGGCTCCAGAGAGGGTGTTTCACAATTGTACATTACCTCAAGGCCACTGTAGGTTCTCCTACACACTCTGAAGGGAGGGTTAGTCAGTTCGGTTGCAATCTGCAACCTCAACACTAGAGGCCGCTAAATCTTCCACACTGGTCCTTTAACTTCAGACTTTACAAGACCATAAACTTCTGATATTCCGACTCACATCTGTTCTCTCAATGGAAACCTAATCAGTAGAGTACAGTGTGTTGATGGTTGTTGACTCTAACACCTCTAGTGTCACCATCGGGTTAAATTTTACATTATACTCTATACTCTTTTTGACATTTTTATTGCAGATTCTAAGATAACTTTAGATGACTATATTGTAGATAATAAGACAATGGGCCCTTGGGCAGAGACATGTAAAAGCCCCTCCACCCCTCCTACATAAGAGCTAGAGAGTCAAAGAGATGTCTTTGTGGTTGTTTTCTGTCTCTTTGTCTGTATTCTTCATCTCTTGGTGGTGGTTTTGGTCTGTTTATAGTCATTTGATTGTCCTCACAACCTGAAATATGAACAGTCAATTAATGCTGGGCCTGTGGTCAGGGGCCTGTGTTCAGCAGGCAGGTGGTGGTCTGACTCTACAGCAGGTACAGGAGACAAACCAGGAGCTGAGCGTGGCAGGTAAACCAGGAAGTCAGGGAGCAGTGAACCTGAAAACCTGAAGGCAAACAGAGGGTTAGCACGGTGTCTGTGGAGTGAAGCACCAGGGTTTAAATACTGCGGGAGTCTGGTCTCTGAGCCGATGAGCTGATGGTGAATTGGCGGGAGGAGAAAACTGGATCACGCCACCCAGAGGTCAAACAAGAGACGCAAACGAGGGGAAAAAACAGCAGAAACACTCAGAATGATGGAGAAATACTGCTGAACCATAAGAGCCTGTTTGTGAACACTTTCATAATCTCCTCTTTAAGAAGTCACAAGGCGTGTCCTCTTATTCTACGACACAGACATACGCTGGTGAAACTCGTTGCCCAGCAGGTAGGCATTGATCCTGGGTGGAATAGTTTTAATTGCAGGAACCTTTTGAAATCTTTTAAGTGTTTATGAAATAAACGAACAGACAGACGTCCACTGAAGAGGAGGAGGAGGAGGAGTCGATTTCATGGGAACTGAAAGTGAAAGTGAAGATACTGGATAGAGCAGGAGAGAAGGAAACACTGCAGTTTAACACAATAGAGAGCAGCTCCGTTCTCAACGCTTCTGATCCAGGTGAGTTTACCTGCTGTGACACAAACAGGTTTTAAAGAGGGATCAGTCACAGAGACATGAATGATCTACTAGTTGTTTTATAGTATTTTTATTGTATCATTGTTTGTAAAGTGTCTTGTGCTGTTTTGTATGTATTGTCCTTCTGATTATATCTTTCGGCACTATATAGTTTATTATTTTTAAGAGACCATTTAGGGACAGGGATTGCAAATTAGCTTAGGCCATTTATTTACTCAGTGCTATACGAGTAAACATGAAATAGATGATAACAATAAATCATAATATATTCTGTTAACATCAGAAATCTTCAGAACCAAATTAAAGACTAAAAATCTATCTATCTATCTATCTATCTATCTATCTATCTATCTATCTATATATCTATCTATCTATATATCTATCTATATATCTATCTATCTATCTATCTATCTATCTATCTATCTATCTATCTATCTATCTATCTATCTATCTATCTATCTAATTTTACTGTACTGCAAGCTTTCACTGTAATATCACCATTTCCTCTCATGAAATTCCTGAACTGTCCCGTGTCTGTATTTGGATGCTCCTTCCTGTTGCCTTGTACAAACTGTGACAAATGGAGCTGGTTGCAAGTCAAAAGCCAAAAGGATTCATCTTCAGACCTCCATGGCATTCTGCTAAAGACAATAGAAAGACAATAAGGACATATTGTGCTTGTATTTGAAATTTTACTTGATTGAGCTAAAAAAGTGCTTGCAAAAATATATATTCTATTCTCTAATAGGTACTGATTATGTCATGTTCTTTGTTCAAAAAAATGAATAATTTGTGTTCACATTACTCAATGGTGTAAAGTACCTTAGTTCATTTATTCAAATACTGCTCTTAATTACAAATTTTCCATTTTCTGCTACTTTATATTTCTACTACACATTAAAACATTATGTTAAAGCTCCATCAGTGTTAAAGAGAATGACTGAGATCCATGATGTTGTTCAATGTGAATCTTCCGAGTGGAAACCAAACCTAAACCCGTGTTTGAGTTAATAATAGTTAACATTTTTACATCAAAATACTAGTTAAATGATGGTGATCTGAAGTTTAGTCTTAGTTTACATCAGACAGCACAAACCACATCCACTAGAAATGCACAGAACTGAAAGTTATTGTCCATGATCTGTGTACAGGTTTGTTAAAGGCTGAGAGCAGACGAGTTATGGATGGAGAGGACAGAGAGTTGAGCCTCAGAGAGGACAGTCCGACTGAAGCGACGCCGTCTCCACGCCTCAATCAGAGACAGAGAGTTCAGCAACAACAATCATCAAAAACAGGTGATGCTGCAGAAAACTTCTCACCTTCCGTACGAATAGTTTTGCAGCTTAATCTCAAAGTCTCTGGCATTTTTCTGTCGGCTTGGTTCCCACATGCAAATATAATGTATGTACATATATTGAATTCGTTTATATGACATATACTGTATGTAAATATTAAATAAAAACATATATGTAAAAATTATGAAATATAAATAAAATATATGAAACATATTAGAAGTTGGAATATATATATATATATATATACCCATCCCAAAGCCTGTCAGTATATGTTAATATTATAAACAGTATAGGGTCCAAAAGTCTGAGACACATTTAAAGTTAATGGGAAATTGATAAGAAAAACATATAGAAACATATACGCCTATGCTGTTTTAGTAAACCAGCATATATAAATTAAATCATTAACATATATGGTCACAACATCTTATACCAAATAAAAATTCATCATATAGACATTTTTTTAACAATACAAATTTTACTATGGGTATTTCATATGTTATAAATGGATATCCTCATATGTCCAGAGGCTGTATATATGTGATAGTAACATAAGTGACATGTATGTCAACATCACTGTTGATTTAGGGACATAAATGTAAATGTATATTACATGGGTTGTCATTATTGGTAATGCTTTGGAGATTTGGAGGAGTTGTTGACTTTCACTCCTCGTTCACTTAAATCTTGTCTGTGTCACTTTGCAGGGGAGGGATCCACGGTGGAGGAGTCGGTCTCCATCTCTCCACAGCTGACGAAGTGGATCAAAGACAACGCCGAAGACCTCAAGATCCGGCAGGGGGACCGGAGCTGGGCTGCAGGGGTGGTGAACGATTTCAGAGAGAACCTGCTGAAGTTCCTGAGGAGCAGCAGTGATCAGCCTTTTTTCCAGACGGCTGAGTTCCTCACCACCGGCAGCTACTTTGAGAAAGTGAAGGTGAGGTCGTGAAACTCTCCCACTCTCACTTTTCTAAAGAAAACAGCAGAATATTGTATTTGATCCCTTCTTCTTCTTCAGATCCACAGCGCTGATGAGTTCGACATGATGCTGAAGCTTCAGGCTCCTTCACGCCTCATCATGACGGAGCTGGACCATGGACTCTTCTACCGGCTCGATCTAAACCGGGCCACTCGGTCCCCCATCCAGGCCTTTCTGTTGGAGAATGAGCGAACCCTCTCATCAAGCAAGGTCCTGAGTGAGATGTATCGCCTGGTCCGCAAGTTCCTCAAGACCTACAAAGGTTTTCTGTTCCACCTCTGATCTTTATATTGAGTCAATCATCTCGTTTCCTCCTCCACTTTCTGCTGCTGGTGTCTTTTCATTTCCCTGTCAATAATCTGACATGTACTGGAGGAAATTAAAGTCTCCTAAAGGAAATAATCCTCTTTACATCAGGGGGTACATTTACTCAATTACTGTACTGACATGGAAACAATTGAGGTACTTCAGTATTTCTTTTTTCTCTTACTTTACACTTCTACACTACATTTATCCAACAGCCATGTTTTTTAGGAGATTAAAGTCAGAATTTCAAGAGAAAAAAAAGAGAAGACATTTCACATGTGGCCCTATTCCTCTTCCATGGATTTGACATAGAAAACATGTGAAGCTTTTAAAATATATTGCATTATAAAAGATTAATCAAATTATCATATAAATATGGATCTTAAACGATTATTCAATTAGTTGATTAGCAAGTTATTAGAAAATGAATTTAAATGAACTGTTCTGATAGCAGATTAATTGTTGAAGTTATTTTTATGCAAAAAGCCCAAACATTTCATGGTTTCATGTTCTCAAATGTGATGATTTGTTGCTTTTATTGTCTTAAATTCCAGTAATTGGAATCATCTTTGGCTCCAAGAAAATCTGATGGATCGATCAAAGAAACAATCAGCAGATTAATCCATAATGAAAATTCTGTAACATTCACAGAGTCCATTTTTACTTTTGATACTCGACGTACATGTTCTTGGTAATACAGTCCATTTGTGATGGAGTATTTCATCAGTATGGGATTGGTACTTTTAATTAGATTATGTGTATTTATTTATTTTATTCACATTTAATTCTTAGACATTTTGAAGAGAGGTCACCACCCACTACAATACTCTGGCCTGGTTTGTTCGGGAACCTCGGTTGCACTTTAGGAACCACGAGATGAAGCTACTCATGTCTCCTGTCTGTGTTCTCTTCTCCGTGTTTCCAGTGCCTGACAGTCGATATCGCTGGGAGGTGAACAGGAAGCTTCCATACTCGCCTGCAGTGACGTTGTCTCTGTGCAGAACTGAGGACAACAGTGAAGAGATAATCTCTGTGGACGTGGTTCCTGCTCTGGAGGTAAATGTTTCGTCTGATTATCTACAGAAATAAGGTCACACATCCACGTTAATGTCTTGTTTGGATTACTCAAAATCATAATGAGGGTATTACAGACAAAACTGTCAGAGACAAAGTCTTCAGAGACGTGGGATCCACATTTATTTGAAACCTGTAGAGCTAACAGTCATAATGCTGGTCCGGTCTACAGGGGAACCAAGTGGTCTCCTGGTCTCTGTGGACGTCACTGACAGACTGTGAAGACTTTTACTTGTTTTATTGTTTGTTTCAATATGTGTACCCATGATTCTCTGGGAAGCAGTGTTGATAGTGAGTGGTGAAAATCGTTACCAGATCACAAAGGAATATAATTGTACTTATTTTGACCTAATGTGACCTCATATTTGTTTTTGTTCCTGAATGTAGGTCCACTCCTCTCAGGGCTGGCCGCTCGCCGTCCGTAACGGTCCAGATGTGAACGACTGGCTGGGGAAGAAGGTTCGCCAAGAGATCAAGAGCTTGCCGTGTTACTTTGTACCAAAGAGGCTCAAAGGTCGAAACCAAGGAAACAAGGAGGAAGCTAAAGGTGAGAGAAAACAACAACACCAGAGATAGAGAAGAAGTAACTAAAATCTTCAGTCCACAAATTAATTTATCTACAGTAGATTCTTCTTGCTGCTTGTGTAGACTTTGTTTCAGTAGCACTCTGTCTCCCAGTTTATTACATTTACACGAGGAGTCACACAGCCTGCTGATGCAGTGTAGGTCCATTGAAGTTCACTGATTAAATACTGAGGTTCATAGAACACCAAACGCACAGTGATTTAGCCCCAAAAATGTGAAGGTACAACATGTGTAAAATCTCATTATATGGCAAATATGATAATAACTACATCATTTGTTGCAATTAATCTCGTATAAAATCCTTGAATCATGTATCACAAGCTGAAAATGTGGTGACCTTATTGTGTTTTGTGATTATATTGTGGTGGTCAAAGGTCAAAGGTCACAGTGACTTGTGAATGCAATATCTCGAGAACTCTTCAAGGGAATCCCTTCACATTTGGCACAAACATTCCCTTGGACCCAAGGACAAAACTGATTAGATTTGACAAAAAAAATCACACAAATGGTTCAGATTTTATAAGACTCTGGATAAACAGGGATGTAACCTGAGACTAGTCTGAGCTGCGCAGGGATCCCACGAGACAGTAATTCTAGTTTTTCTTACAAACTTAACAGAGATTACTAGTTAATGACTGACATTTTATTTTGTGGCGAGTTGCTCCTTGACATTGTACTTTTCAGGCAGAACACACATCACTCAGTCCTAGCTCCCATTAATCTTCTCTCAAAAGCCAAATTCTTCAAATGTCAGAAGGTGTAAATAAAAGAATGTGCCACTTATGTGTGATTAATTTCATGCACAGCCAATACTGAGTGCATGTGTGCATGTTCACAGCGGCAGTGTCTCACCAGGTTGTTTTGTCTGTCTGCATCAGAGAGCTGGAGGATTTCTTTCTCTCTCATTGAGAAGAAAATCATCACGTCTCATGGCAACACCAAAACCTGCTGTGAGAGCAACGCCACCAAGTGCTGCCGGTGAGACTGTGACTCGCTCGCTCATTTTTACATCTCGTCACAGATGACGCTCTTTGTCTATCCAGTCATTGTATTAGCTGCAGGAGCTGTGCAGGCTTGTCTAGAGTGGTGCATTAGAGAGGAGGAGTTTTCACAGTTTTTAACAACTTGGCAACCCAAATATTTCTTATTAATGGTTTATAGCTGATGATTAAAGTGTTAGTAAATGATTTGTTACAGGAGTTATTTGTAAGTTTTTCTATCGCTACATAGCTAATGTTAACATTAACAGCTGTTTACTTATCAGTCTAGAAGAAACAGGAGATCTGGTCTCTATCTTGTCTTTTCTTCTACTGAAGTTAGCGCTTACCAGCTAGCCGTGGCCCGTCTTGTCACTTTACGTTAGCGACTCACTAGCGTCTGCCCTGAAGAAGTAGCTGCTCAGAGAACATATTATAACCTCTTGTGTTATATTTGTTGTAAAGAGGGTTAGGGTTAGGGTTAACCATTAGAAAAGAAAAATAGATACAATTCATAATGTATTTTATAAAAGTTGCCTTATAACAAACACAGTTACAAAATACTTAATACTCTATAGATTCAACAATAACATAACAGGGAACCATAACAGCCTCTAACTGAAGAAGCTTTTCAAGTTTTTCAATTATAGGTGCCATATTTAAAAAAAAAATAAAAAAAAAATTAATCTTTTCTTGGGGCCTTTTAACAACAAATAGTTTCCTCTCCTCTCTCACAGTAAGCAGTGCCTGATGCTCCTCAAATCCCTGATCGAGGGTCTGAAGCAACGTTTCCCCAAAGAGCTCGATGACCTCTGCTCGTACCACGGGAAGACGGTCTTCCTCCACACGCTCTCCATCAGGTACTCATCTGTGTTATCATCAACATGTAATTATTATCATAGTAAGAATGGAAAATGGTAGTGCTAGTGGTTGCTATTGTAGTAGTAGTAGCTGTACGAGTAGTGTTGTAGTACTAATAGTTGTAGTTGTATCATTGTAAATTGAGGATGAAAATGATGTGATGTGAAAATGTGAAAGGTGAGCTTTATAGTGAGTTTCAGCTCATTGTTTAGGTGTCCTTCAAAATGATTATTAGATTAATCAATAACACAAATAATCAGTAGTTGTAGTCCTATTGATTAATCATTGGTGTTATTGTTGTAGCATTAGAAATAGGGCTGGTAGCAGTGTTTGGATTGGATTTGTAACAGAATTCTCTCAGTGTCATCATTCCTTCAGATTTTCATTTCACTCCCATCTTCCCCCTGCGTCTCGTCTGTCAGGTTCAATGACTCCATGTGGACTCCTCAACAGCTCCCTGTCTGCTTCCTTCACCTCCTCGGGTGTCTGGAGGACCATGCACGGAGAGGCTCCCTCCCTCACTTCTTCGTCTCCAAGTGCAACCTCTTCTCCACGAAAGTCTTCCCCCGCAGGGCGCTGGCGTTCCTCGTCAATGCCCTGGAGGAGCAGAGGAGGCAGAACCTGCCCCTGCTGAAGCCTCCAGCTCCTGAGTCACCACTGAAACCGGTGACTCCTTCCTCTGAGCAGTCGTCTCTGCTGACTGCAGTTCACTCCCTGGACACTGTGTTCATGAATAAAATGGTCGTAGTGTTTGCTGTACCTTTGTTTGCTGTAGCTTTGGCTTGTGCCCTGTTTCTAATGTGAGTAATAGGAAATGAAAATATACACTCACTCTTATAATGAAATACAGAAATTTGGTGAAACCATATAATAAAGTGCATTTATCAATAAACTTCCCCCATGAAACAGATGGGTTTTGTGCTTTGGGACATCTGAGATGTGACATAAAAGAGCTATAGGAGTTTTGTAGATGTCCGTAATAGTTTGGTGGACAGGAATGATGACTATTTTATTTTATTTTTTATTTTTGTATTTTACTTTATTTTATTTTATTTCTAAGTTATTGGTGACATTGATAAACTAACTAAATCAAATATTTCCCAAGGTGATAAAGAGTTATAACAATTTGTAACATAAAAGGAAAAGGAATCACCCTTATACTGACATTTAGATAGATAGATAGATAGATAGATAGATAGATAGATAGATAGATAGATAGATAGATAGATAGATAGATAGATAGATAGATAGATAGTGTCTTGATAATGTATCTTATGATTTGGTGTAATAAAAAATAAAATTGAATTGAATTGAACTTCATTTGAATATTTATTGTTGTTTATTTAGCATTCATCTAATACACTGAATAAATCACGTAACTATTGATAATAGTCTACAATTTATCATTGCCAAGAACAACAGCTGTAACTTTGAGTCTTAACACATTTTAGTTCACAGTTCTATTAACTGATAAACACTGTATGAAAGAGACGTGCCGGGGGTTTATTCAGTCTTTGTAATCTCTGTAAATGGTAAATAATTTGTTGTTTTGTAATATTTTGCTTTTAGTAAGTAAAACGGAACCATTGAGTTTTCCCGCCACTAGTTTCCCCTACACTATTTGCGGTGAACACTGCACTATAAATGTTTGTCGCCGGAAACGTAACGTCCTCTTCTAGTGATCCAACATGGCGGTGAGTAGCGTACCACATCGTACGATGGCGATCATATATGAAGTTACAGTTGAAATCCACCATCATCGGCCTTTCAGGGTGTTTCTAACGGCTGATTTATGTTCAAATGATTAGACCCCTTAATGAACGATTAATCCAGAGGCGCATTTCTTCAATAAATGTTACAGATGAATGTTAAAAGTTGACAACCGAGTAATGCTAACAGACTAGCCGCTGTAAAACACTGAACCTCCGTGTGTTTGTGGTTAAATTCTGTCGTTAAAGACGAGATTACAACACTGGGGTGACACTTGAGCAACATAGCAGATAAGTCAGATTTATTTTAGTATGAGCTTTTTAGTTGTTGTGAGGCTATTATGTTTTCCGGACTGTGGGTACAGATATGCTAACAGAAGTAGCGGGGGTATGTACGGACATGTCCGACCGGCATGTGACATGCTGATGTAGAAGAGCAGTGTCAGAAGATGATAAAATGTGATTCTTAAACAAGTTGGAGTTTATCGTTAATTGTCGATCAGCAGAGTGAACCCAACATGGCAGTAGGTGACGAGGCGTTCGTTTCCGTGGAGGTCTACAGTGACTCGCCAGTTCCCACGTTTTAACATCCTCTCTGTCTTGTGCTCCTTAGGACCAGGGTGAGAAGAAGGAGAACCCCATGCGAGAGCTCCGCATCCGCAAGCTCTGCCTGAACATCTGCGTCGGCGAGAGCGGAGACAGGCTGACCCGAGCTGCTAAAGTGCTGGAGCAACTCACAGGCCAGACTCCCGTCTTCTCTAAGGGTGAGTTGTAATAGTGTGTAAGCTGTGGTTATTTTATCTAGTACATATACTCTCAAAGGTGAATTAGCAACCAATAGTTGATAGAGTGGGAATTGTCTGAATAGACTACAGGAAGGGAAATGTATTTGCAGGTGTCATGTCTTACTGCTGTGTGTGAAGTTGACACTGTTCTGTCCTCCACTTGCAGCCCGCTACACTGTGAGATCCTTCGGTATCCGCAGAAATGAAAAGATTGCTGTCCATTGCACCGTCCGTGGAGCCAAAGCAGAGGAGATCCTTGAGAAGGGACTCAAGGTGAGCAAGTCATTTCTACTCCTGGCTCCTTATCATATGTTACAACTGAAGAGTTAAGTTCCCTTGTCTAAAACGTAGTTTATGTATTTTAGATGGCTGAAGAGTAAGAACTATTCAGTGTTTTCAAAGAACAGTAAACACAATTTGTGTGGCATAGTATTTTCTTCTCTCGTGTTGATTATCTTGTGACTCATTCATTTTCATCTCTTGTGGTGTCCTGACCTTCTTGCTCATAGTTTCTTGTAGACTTTTTGACTATTGACATGATTAATAATTGAAAATAACCCAACAATGCCAATGCTTCTTGGCCTGTTTGTGTGAAACTTGATTCTCAAATTGCACTAAAGGACGAAAGATATGTATTTGATTAAATTAGCTCATTATGCATAAAGTGACACTACCTCATCCCAAGACCGATATCTACCTGTTCAGATATTTTCAGTGTTGTTTAATGAAAGATGTCCTCAGGACACACTGCTGCGTTGACTTTCCACAAAAATAAAGGTGGGGGAAAACTCAACAGTAATGTGTCGGTTTGATTTTATTGGATCCTTGAACGGACTCTGTAAGACAGGCCCATACTGACATTTAAGCAGCTATTAACTTTTGATGAAACTTAATCATGATTTTGTGAACATAATATTGTTGCTTTAAATCAGTCCTCTGCTGTTCCCGCTTTCAGGTGCGTGAGTACGAGTTGAGAAAGAACAACTTCTCTGATACCGGAAACTTTGGCTTCGGCATCCAGGAGCACATCGATCTGGGCATCAAGTACGACCCCAGCATCGGTATCTACGGACTGGACTTCTACGTGGTAAGTGATGTACAAATAAACAGAATGCTGGCTGGAGATGTGGTAGGGTTTGGGATGTGGTGTGTTTTTAGTTCACAGTAGTTACTGAATCTTAAACTGTGACAGATCATTGCTGAAACAATTGATAAATGGGTTTTGTGGTTAGAGTGTTATTGTACTAAGACTTCAAGGTTTCATGTTACAGACCAGAGGTTGCTGCTGAGTTAATGGGTGTTTGTAGATTTATTTGACATTTGTTTCACTTCATGACCATTAGAACCGCTTAAAATTAGGAGCTTATTTCTGAACTTGGTCTCTGTTGGTCATTGTTATTTGTAGCATTTAGTTGAGGTGGTTACTCTGATTGACAAAGTACAATACGTGTTGTCACTTGATACTGACAATCGACTGTGGAAAAGATGAGATTTCGATTATACTGGTAGTTTTTTCTTCTTCAAGAGGAGAGCAGTTAGATCAATGAACATTTCAGTTGACGTTTGTACTTTCCTCAGTCTCTCTTGGTGGTTAAGAGAAAAATTGGTGGATAAACATTTAAATGCTGTTTACATTATGATGTTTGCACAAGTGTGTCATCAGTAAATCATGTCTATGGTTAGCGGACATGATGTGGCTGCATCTCATCGAGAACCTCTACCAAAATACACCGTGATATAGTTTTTCTTATAGTGTCTTACGTTTGACAAGATAATCAAATTTCCCAGAATGATTAATATTAAATATAGAGCTGATAAATTTTCTTTTGATGAACTAATCAATTATGAACTATTTGCCTATTTAAACTGGCTGAAATTCCTGAATTGAAAGCTCCAGTCTCAGAAAACATAAAAAGTACTAATCAATGCTTGTGAAGTTTTCATGTATAATGGAGAAACTGTTGAGTCAAAGCTTTTCTGAGCCGCTCTGCCCCCCCCCTTCTGTGTCCAGGTTCTGGGCAGACCCGGCTTCAGCATTGCAGACAAGAAGCGGAAAAGAGGCCGCATCGGTTTCAGGCACCGCATCCGCAAAGAGGAGGCCATGCGCTGGTTCCAGCAGAAAGTGAGTAACAGAGTTTTCACATGTTTTCAAAGTGAATGTTTTAGAGAGAACAGCATTGGACTGATTTCAGATGTGTAATCACTAAGATAAATGGAAGAAGTTAACTTGGCCAACCTGAACCCTTGAAGAAACTGGTGTATGTTTCATCAGTTGATGTCAGATCAAACATGGTTATGAGGACCCTTTCTGGCGTGTTAAAGCCGTTAGTATAATGTTTGATACACAACTGAGACCTCTACACCCTCGGTCATTAGCTGAACGACCATTTATAAACTATCAGACACATGTTAACTGCCCTCAACTGAATCAGTGCTACACAGGAAGTAGTCCTTTATTTATAAAATTCAAGCACGCAGCTTCTGTGTTTAAACATGTCATGCGTCCAGATTTACAAGTGGCTCATCAAAAACACTGCTAGCACACATGCCTAAGAAATGGCTTCAGGCTTCCTGAGGAAATGGTTAAATTCATGCAATTTCTGATTTTAATTTAACTTTGATTCGCTGCAGAGCTAAAATCAACTTGTCTTGAGATTTTGTGGTTTATTTTTGTATCTGTGTCTCCCTCAGTTTGCTCTCCCTCCCTGAAATGTTAGTTTCAGAATCATTTAACCTTCAGGAAACTGTCACGTTAGATTTGAATATCTGTCAAAACACCGTAAAACAACTGTAACGTTTAACCTCAACGTTTCCCTCTTCTTTTTTTTTTTCCAGTATGATGGCATCATCCTCCCTGGCAAGTAAAGGACCACCTTTTCATCTTGTTTGTATGAAAGTAATAAAATGGAAAAAATGACTTTTGGTCTAATGTTGTTACTCGGGCTCTCTGTGGTGTGATGGTCTGCATCTTTATGATTTCAGTTTAGGGATACTTCAGAAATTTGGGGTACTTGGATATAGAGATAAAACAAAGGTCATTATCAAATCAGCAGAGGCTGAAGTCCTGACGTTCAGTCCAGAGTCCACTAACAACGACTTAAACAGCACTTTTAAAAACATGATTTCAACAGGATTACAACATTAATAACTAGAAATTAGACAGTAAAATTAGAAATTTAACTAAGGTAAAGTACCCCCAATGTTTACATCCATGTCACTCATGGAGAGTCTCCATGCCAACATTTCTTTATCAAAGGGGTTTTTCTGTGATTTCAGTTAATGTCAATTTTAAGAAACTTTATCACCTAATTATTTCAAATGTGGACAAGTGAAAACAGTTGAAGGGGTTAACATATTGACCTTTTTTATTTATTTATTTATTTATTATTTAGTGGCTGTCTTTATTTTTGTAGCAAAATGTCAGGATGTGTTTTTTAACCACATGGTGGCAGTGTAGAGCCAGTGATGTGTTCACGTGTCAGTCAAACAGATGAGCCCTCTTCAGATCTTGCTCTGCATCTGAATTATTGGTTTAATCTGGATCCTATAAAACTTCTGACTTTTTTTTTTTTTTTTTAATGCTGAACTTTAGAGACAATCTAATTTTTTTTTTTATATAGTCCAAGGTGTCACCTCAGCACGAGCCTCATGCTGAGGTGCAGCACGTGCTGGAGTGCTGGAGTCCCCCACCGACAAGCTGTTTGAACTGAGAGTCTCATGGACTCACGGCTGTCGGTGGGGGACATGAGCACTTCAGAGGTGATGTCCCCCACCGACAAAGAACCATCGGTGGACCAAAGGTGATGTTGACAAATCAGGATAGATATGGGATAGATATGGCTGATAGGGTAGACGGGGGTAAATAGGGCAAATAGGGAGGCCCCCTGATGGTCATTAGATATAATGCAAGTTTAAGGCACTTCCGCATTGGCTTCACTTTCCAGACCCGGAGTCAACGTCCATTTTTATATAATAAAATCTGGTCTGATCTTTATTTAAATCACAAATATGGACAAACACAAGGAGCTTAACCTAATATAACAAACAATTTAAATCTTTTGTGTCTTTATTGAACACAGCTGTTGAACATTCATAATGACGGTGGGAAAACTGAGTGAACCCTTGGATTTAATAACGAGTTGAACCTCCTTCGGCTCTAATTCAGCATCATTCTTTCTACAGGACTGATTCAGCTCAGACAGATTCTTATGGACCACTCCAGGAGGTGGATTTTCTTTGAAGTCATTCTGTGGTAGATTTACTTCAGTGGTTAGGGTCATTTCCCAGCTGCGTCACCAGCTGTTACTGAACTTCAGCAGTTTCATCCTGTAAGGTACCTTGGTAAACTTGTTAATTCATTTTCCCCTCCGTGATGTCGAGCTGTCCATGTCATTAGCTGAGGGGTTTGTGCACTTTTTCCAGTGTACTTATGATTTGATTTGTGTGTTTTTAGTTGAAATATAGTGTTTTTAGTCATTATTTTGATTAGGATTTGACTAAAGGGTTCACTTACTCTTCTTTCTACTGTACATTGTGGGTCATCCTCTTGAGCAAAGTTGAAGAAAGTGTATTTTCTAAGAGACCAACACTCCTGCTCCAGTGTGTGTCAGTATGTAAGAAAAAAACCTGATTTATGTTCGACTCAACGAAATGAAAACTTTCTCTGGGACAAACAAACATCCCTTAAACCAGCGGCTCCCAGCCTTTTCCGCCTCATGGCCCACTTGAAAATCTCAAAAATGTTTGCAGCCCACATCGGACCTCTTAACAATACAAATGTACCATGTGGTCCAGCGGAAAAGTGCTCCGTCCGGCGACAACTTAAAAGTTCCAAAAATTGTCTTATCACAGTGAAAGGCCTTAGTGTGAAAAAAACAAAAGAACAATGAATTTTTAAAATGAGTTTGTAAAACATTATATATATATATATATATATATAAAGACTACATTTCCCAGCAACACCATACTGTATGTAGTAAAATGAATGAAAAGACAGAGAATCAGCTGGTTTTGATTAGATTGGCTTTATTCAGTGAAACCCCACAGAGCGCAGAGCTCGTCCAGCGCTAAGAAGGAGACAACACAGAGGGACACGGCCGATCAAACCAGCCTGATTAGCTCCAGTGTTATCTCATGATAAACGGTGATATTCATCATGAACTCTCAGCAGCTCGTAGCTCCTCCTGCTGGAGTCTCACTGGTTCTTCAGTTGGTGGGTTTGTCTTAGTTCCTGTAAAAATTTGACTTTTGAGGACGGCTGATGTTTTCAAACACAAACACAGGTGAGTTCACACATTTTTATATTTCTTTTAATTTTAATTTGTTACATTTTTCTTTTATTCTATTAGGTTAGTCACATTTTTTTTCTGTTTTTCAGATTTTTATGCATTTTTTTAGACATTTTTCTCAGTCTTTGCTTTGTGGATTGAAGCCACGAGATTTGTACTTTTTTTTTTCTTTTAAATCTCACCTGTGTTGTTGATTTCACTCTGCCCTCCTCTTTACATTCTCCTCTTCATCCTTCCACTCCATTGCACTTATAAAATCTTTATTAAGTACTACATCTATATATTTTTTTTATTATTTTTGTCACGGTCGAGCTACACTACTTCTGACAGATATACGTTAAATAATAAACAGGTTTGTTTATCGCTGCTGTTCTCATGAGAAATATTTCAAGTTTGCCGGTGAGAAATCTTGGTTATTGTGTCGTTTTTGTCAGAAAGCGCCCACGCACACTCCTGTCATTCACCCTGTTTGCTGTCACACACACACACATTCGCACACTCATGTTCACAGTCACACACACACACACTCTGCCTAGATACATCTTTGTACACAATCTGCCAGTGGATTCACAGTCGTCTTGATGTTCGCTCAAACACAGACAGCCATCTCTCCATCCTTCATCGTCCTCCATCCGTCACCTCTCTACCTCCGCCTGCTCCTCTCTTCCACTTCATCCCTCATCCACCTCTTTCTCCATCACTGGAAAACCTCCTGAGACAACTTCGGATCATGCAAGCTCTCTTTTCTGTCTCGCAGTCGCAACATCGCGGGACAGATGTCGAGCAGAAATGATTTTTTTCACATTCAGGATCAGTACTTCATGACATTTCTTGACCAAAAAAAAAGAGACCATGCAGCTTTTGAAAAAAGAAATGACACATTCTTCCTTTTACAAATGAAAAGTTGAGTTATAAGCAATAAAACAAGCTGTTGCTCAGTAAAGGTTTTGCTGTTACGGCCTCACTTGGTCCAGCCTGACCAGTAATTTATGGTGCCTGATGTTAGCATTTAGCCTTTAGATATTTACACTATAAATGGTAATAATGGGTCAGTTTCTCTTTTGCCATTGTTACACAACATTTTACCATTTTCCAACTGTTTTTCAAACTTTACATAGACTTCCTTTAAACTGGCCATTATTATTGTCATCAGTATACTTTGGCCCCTAAAATGTAAACTTGCTTTGTTTAATTTTATTTGCCCACTTATATACTTATTCAATTATTTATTATTCAAGCCTTGCTGCTTTAATTTTGCTCTTTGTCTTGGATCTTTATGCTTCATGTTATTGATTGACAGGAATGCAGAAATGTGTATCGTTAAGGTTGATTTTTGGTGTTAAAATGATAAATAAGTTAATTTTTCAACATAAATATGAACAGAAAAAAAGAGCAGACATGATCCAGATTAGAGCAGAAACCATCAGTCGATTAATTGATCAATTGATCGACAAAAAAACTTTGATAAATTGTTATTAAAAGGTGTTTTTCAGGCAATAAGGGGTTAGGGTTAGTAATAAATATGTCATATTAAATGGAATATCTTTGGGCATTTGGAGACGTCACCTTGGTTACTTTGGGTTTTTACACCTAATTGAAAAATCAATCTACAGATTAATTGATAATGAATTAATAATGATTAGTTGCAGCCCTAATCCAGATGTGCTCCTGAGGTTGAACCGTCCCTCCTCTCCTCCAGTCTCTCCCCTGCTCCATGTCTCTATGCTGTGATGGTCTGTGACGGGGCCACGCTGCTCTCTCTGCTCCGGTTCTTCCCGGGCTGCTGCTGCTCTTCGTGGGCCGGGGTGTTGCGGTGCTGCTGCCGGCGCGGCGCGTGGCGGGGCGGCAGGGTCAGGGTGCAGCAGGACACTCCCACCGTGGGCTCGGGCAGATCCTCGGCCAAGGACCAGCTGTCAGTGGCCGGGTCGTACTTCTGCACGGCCGCCTTGTAGCGCTTCTCCGCCTCGTTCCAGCCCCCCAGCAGGTACAGCCTGTCGGCCAGCGGGGACAGGCCAGCGGTGCTCACGCCGAGCGGGAGAGGGGCGGCCCGGCTCCACACTCCACTCTCCGGAGAGAAGACTTCCACAGAGAGAACATCCACCCTCTCTCCTCCGGGTCCCAGCTGGCTTCCTCCCACCACGTACACCTTCCCTCCCAAGCTGGTGGAGCAGTGCCAGCCTCGGGGAGTCTCCATGGAGGCCTTCTCACTCCAGGTGTCGGTCTCCACGCTGTAGCAGGCCACGGAGCGGGAGTAGGCGCAGTTGATGTAGCCGCCGGTCACCAGGATGTCTCCGGAGGGCAGGGTTGCGCTGGAGTGGCAGCAGCGGGGCACCTCCATGGGAGCACGCATCTGCCATGTGTTGGAGGAGGGCAGGTAGCTCTCGGTGGTGGCCAGCAGACCCTCCACGTTACGGCCGCCGATGGCGAACAGCCGGCCGCCGCTGGCGGCCAGGGAGAAGTGGGTGCGGCGCTGACGCATGCTGGCCAGGTGGAGCCAGGTGTTGAAGCGAGGGTCGTATCTGATGGGGGGAAGAGGAGGGTAAGGTTAGAGGAGATTGAGGGCATAACACAAGGCACTGGCCAGAGGCCTCAGACAGCCAGGAGTTGATTTTAGGATGTGGGACTGAGGCCTTGTTTTGAAGAGGGTCCCTGTGGGGCCCAGCAGCTCACTTTTGCCCAGGGGCCCCAAGCAGAGGTGTGTGTGATCATACAGTGTGTACTGTGGATCAGTCAGACTGTTCTCGATTAACCTGACAAGTAGCACTTACCACTCCTGTCCCATCGTTTACTAAAGCAATATAAATAAAGCATCCTTTATAATGGGTTCATAAGTTGTGACCCACAGTCGGTTAGCAAATCATTTACCAATATTTTATTTTTAATATTTTCTTAAATATATTTTTAATATTTATATTTATTATTTTACCTGTGGACCGGGGCCCACTGGTGAGCCGCAACCTGTGAACAACACTTGATCTTATCCATGATGTCTGTATGTATGTGTTGGTCTGTCAGTGTCACCTGCTGAGGGTGCTGACGGCGTGCTTGGCCTGGTTGCGGGCGTCGTTCTGATCCTCTCCTCCAGCCACGTACAGGAAGCCGTCCATCACAGCCACGCACTGGTTGAAGCTCTTCGCCGGCAGCTGGGTGAGGTGACGCCAGGAGGCTCCTCCCTCACGGGGGTCTCTCCACAGCACCTGGACAGCGGGGTCAAAGGTCAGCAAGGAACTTGAGGGACTTGCTTTCATTATGTCAGTTTGATTTACTCACTAAAATGTCTCCAAACAGTCTCTATAAAGAGTCTCTGACTGTCCAGCTGCCAAAATCCAGAGGACGGAAGAGAGTATTCAGTTATTACTGTGGCTCTCAGCGGTTGAAAAAATCTGCTCACTACTCTGCACATTCTTCAAGGTAGAAAAAATATAGTTTTTATTTACAGTCAATATATTCCTCTAAAAAGACGCTCTAATTGACATAAACACACTGTGTGTGTCACTGTGAACTGTATATTTTTAGCTAATTGTAGGATATTATCAATTGTGTTGTCTGTTTTGTGTTGGTTTTGCTACTGACTGTTTTTATTCCATTACACATGTAAAAGCCCGACTAGGGACAGGAGTGGAGAATTAGCAACAGCTATAAACTCTGTGTGCAACACATTGTTTCATGTCTTGTTTTGAAACTGATAAATTGCATCATCCCTATAAATAAATAAAGTGTGCGAGTGTCTAAACATAACCATAAAAAAGCTTAATAATCCTGTAGTCACTACAAGTGGATGTTACACTGTAAGAACAGATATTTTGGCAGAGAACAAACATATTGTCTGTGAATATTTTACTGATGCCTTCAATATCAATGCATTTGAAACTTGTCAGATATGATTTAATTAACAACGTATCCTCATTACATTAGTCTTTTTCCCACAAATTATATTTCCTGTTGCAAATAAGTTGTATATAAATGTGATTTCTAGGACACAGGGTTGGAAATAAAGGACAGCTTTTAGTAATAATGTGAAATACGATATTTATCATAAAGAATGGTCTATATTAATGAAAACTAAATGGGATTTCAAGTGCTAGTAGTGTTTTAATGATAACATAATTGAAACCAAATCTCCAGCCTTCGCAGGCACCAACCTCTCTGCTGAGCGCCCTCTCGGTGAGCGATGGACGGCCTCCGATGGTGAGCAGGGTCTGCTGGCCGGCGCGGACATGCGTGCGCCGGGACTGCAGGGTGTTCTGCTGGTAGGGCAGCAGGTGGTAGTTCATGGCGTCCACCAGCAGGCGGTGACACTGAGGGTCCAGCATCATGCGGGGCACCGGCTGGATCTGACTCACCAGCTCGCTGGCCGGGATCGTCTCCAGGCGGACATGACCGAGGAGCTCCGCGGCGTGAACCTGACGAGAGGCGTCGAAGTCGAGCCACTTCATGGCCAACTGGAGAGAGACGGTCAGAGAGTGGGACTAACGTCAACACTCAGCACCTCAATGTTTCACGTGTTATTGCATAACTATCTGTATAGAGCAGCTTTCAAACCTAATTCACAAAAAAAAAAAAACAGGCTTCATGTAGCTGCGATAACAAACAAGTTAAAGATTTCATACAAAATAAATATTATTAGTTAAAGAAATCAGATTGGAAATGTGAGTAAAAATAAGAAATAGACAAATTATTAAATGTGTACAAAGACCAAAAACACACGGAAAACTAAGAGTTGAAAAATAAAGTGCTAGTGAAACAATAGAAGAGTAAAAGATGTTTTACATTATTTCATCAACTAATTTGTGTGTGTGTGTGTGTGTGTGTGTGTGTGTGTGTGTGCCTATAGGACGTAACACACTAACTTCCTGTTCATGATCAACCCAATCGTTTATCTTAAAAATATCAATAAAAATAAAGTTACAAAAAAAAAAGAAAAGAAACCAGTTCACAAACACAAGGTTAGTTTTACAGAACAAAAAAATCCAAATTGACCAAATGAAACAGCGTTACATTCACATTTGTTCCAGTTTATAAATACATCTATCACTTCTTCTTCTTCTTCTCCCTCAGCTGTCTGTCTATTTAGGTCCAACATGGGGTTATGTATATTAATAAACAGGCTCTCCTCTTGTGTGCAGTGAGAGTTTTACTTGGCCTGCAGGTGACTGGCACTGATTCATGGCTCTGTGTTCGGCTCTGAACAGCTGGTCTGGGGTCTGTTTTTAGGTCTGGATAGGAAATAGGAAGGACCAGAAGGCCGACGAAGAAGAACCTGGCATTTCTCCTCACTTTGGATCGGAGGTGGAGACTGATCACAGTGATTCATGTCAAGAAGCTTTTGGGTTGAATCTTGATTATAACTGCGGCTGTGATTTATTCAGACTGAAGTATAAAAAGTAATTCAGAGGGAAATGTAAAACACTGACAGCGTATCTGATTGCAACCTTTGACCTTTAAAGACAAAGTTCGACCTCTGACCTTGAAGGCTTTGACCTCTGAAGGCAACATCAGCATGTCGTCCTGCAGGAAGGCAGAGATTTGCTCCAGGGTCAGCTGGTTGAACAGCGGCGTTTCTGCGAACTGCACAAAGTTCTCCAGGACGAAGCGGCGGGCGGCGTCACACACGGGCATCAGGCCGTAGGCGGCGGCGATGTTCCAGATGTAGACGCAGGTCTGGACGTTGAGCTCGGCCAGCAGGAAGTCCATGCACATCTTGAGGAGCTGAGGGATCTGCAGGGTGGCGGCGGCGGAGACGGTGCAGCCGATGGTGTACAGCGACATGTGGACGCGACCCAGGTAGGCGAAGGTGATGACGTTGGCCAGGCCTGCAGACAGAGGGACGAGCATTTGACACAAGTCAAACATTAATCCCTCACATATGAACTGTTTCAACCAGAAAAAACAAAACTACTGAGGCCAAAGGAAATGAACTTATTTTTCCTTTAAATCCCATTTTTAAACAGCTTTAAATTCAGAAAAACATTTTATTTTGATTTGAACATTTGACTTTTCAATTCATCAATTCATCATTTAGTCTTTGACTAAGTCTTTAGTCTTAGTCATTTCATAAAATGTCAGCGAATAGTGGATAAGGCCCACCATGCTTTCTGGAAGCACAAGGTGACATCTTTAAATTTGCTTTTGCTCAACCGACAGTCCAATACACAAAAACAGATGATCACACAAGACTTAACAGTCAAGTCCTTACACTTAACAAGCGTCAACTACATCCTTTTGTGCATTTTTGCTTGAAAAATGACTTTAACATTTAAACTATTAAGTTGCATACTAATTTTCTGGCAGTCAGCTAATGAAGTATGCTCATTTCTCAGAAGTTAACTGTGACATATTTGGCATCTTTAAATTGTGTGGGATGCTGACTAGAACAGAAATAAAGTTCTGCGGGTTTGAACAACATGAATTTGTAGTGATGGACACACCAGGACCAGAAAAGATTAACAAGTTAAGACTGACATGGATGCAGGGAGGTACGGTTGGATGGATGAGTCATTGGCTCTCACATGTGGACACGCTCATGCTCTAAAGCTTGACAGTTTTGGGGGTGTTGTAGGATATTTTGTTGTTTTTTTTTTTTTTTTTCTACAGATCTGTTTAAAAAGAATGAAAACCAAATGGTCCTTTTCATTCTGCTTTGTGGGCGAATTGATTGGTGCAAGAGCTAAAAGGAAGGCAGGTGAGTTGGATATTATAAATCTGACTTCTGCAGTGTTGATAGTGTAAACTGATCTTGGTGAGACGTACCCAGAGGTGAGAGGGAGGGCAGCTCCAAGCGCTTCATGCCAGGATCTTTGGCCAGAATCTCTCTGAAATACTGACTGACTGAAGAGATGACCAGCTTGTGGACGTCAAAGGCCTTTGACTTACAGGCCAACTCCAGGTCAGTCAGGAACCTGAGGGAGGAAGGACAAATAACCATGTGAGAAAACATGTAATCGCATTACAATAACACCACACAACATTATGTGTAGTACAACAAAATGATATATGATACATCACGCTATCTTGAATTGAAAGGTGTACTATGATGCTGTACTAACACAAAAATATGACATATGACATAGAATATGATCAGATATGAAACAAAATAAAGTAAAAGTTAATGAATGTGATGCAATAATGCACAAAAAGATATTGTAATATAAGAAAATCATGTGGATTTTCTGCTCCCAGAAAGAGCTTTTTGTTGCATATATTTAAACAGGGTTCTGTAATACATTGTGATTATAACACAACATGATAGAATACAATTACAATATAATACAAAACAATACAATTAAAATGTGATTATGATAGCTTTCACTGTAATATTGTAATCTTATAATTCTGATGTGTTTATATGGCTCCTATAATTACGATAACAATCACAATTGTATTGTATTGCATTGTGTTGTAAATGCATAGTATTGTATCATAATTGCAGCATATCATCATGTTATTGTATCAAACCACAATTGTAATTTATCGTAATTGTCGGCTACTGGATCAAAATTGCACCATATTGTATTTGTATTGTATTGAAATGATATTGTGTCGAAATTGTATCATAATTGTGAAGTATCCTGCTGTAACTGTGTAGTATTAGAATCGTATGTTATTCTAATGGAATCATTTGACATTGTTGAGTATCACTTCCCATCAGAACTTACTTCTCCTGGCGCATCTTGCTGAGCTCCTCCAGCAGGGCGTTGCCGTGCAGGGGTCGTGTCAGCTCGCTGCCCAGGCCCAGGCCTCTCTCTCCGGGCTTGATGACGGGCGGAGGCAGCGGCAGGTTGAGGCTGTTCAGCTGAGCGATGTCCAGCGCCGCCATCTGCTCGATCTTCTTCACCCCGGTCTCCACCACCACCACGCCGTCACCGAGGCTCTGCACCTTCATCGGGGTCGTGGTGGTGGTCTCCATGGCGACCTGAGAGATGGTTTCCACGGCAGGCTTCTTCTGGCGGGAGGCCTTCTTCTTGGGGGCCATCGCTTGAGTCTTAAGGTTGAGTAAGTTTACTGAGTTGACCCCTTGACAGAGATACTGATTCACTTCCTAAAAATTCAGCTGATCAACAGCAAAATGTTTCCTGACTCTGAGGTAAACACTGATTCTGTAGAATAAGAACAGCGGCTCTCTGCTGTTGGCTGGATGTTGAAGCTATAGTATAATATAGACTGGTAGATCGTTGGCGTTTAGCACAGCACACAGCACCTGAAAAAAGAGGGAAACCAGAATTAATTTTCAATTTCAAAGCAAAAGCGCAGTGTCAAGATCTGTTGGGGTGTACCTGCCTGGTACTCAAAACCCTTTATAATAAAAGGGTGTGCAAGAAAAGGAAGACATTTGGTAAAAAAAAAAAAAAAAGACTTGATACAAATAATAGACGTATAGGTGTTATGTACCTTACCCATCTTTCCCATATTTTTGGGGGGTATTTTAATGTGTTTTCCAGGCGTCCATGAGTTGCCACTAATTTCAGTTTAGTACGAAAATCAACTTAGTTCAATCACTCCATCTCAGAATTATGTAATCATGACTTTTTAAATCAATCTGTGCTTTCACCTTGCATGATATAACTTTGTATTTAAAGCAGGATTTAACTCTGCAATTATATTTTCCTACTGCACTTAAATTACACACAAAAACATAAAACACGTTGAAAACTTGTTGTTGTTCCTCAGTTATGGAAACTTTATGATATTTGCAATAAGTATATAGTTTTAAGTGTATATAACTGTCAATAGATTTTGATTAAAATGATACTGACAACATTTTTCTAACCGAGTCCGCCCTTGAGAATCTATTGAGGAAAGCTCAGATCAAAACAGCAGGACAGAAAAAACTGCTCAAACTTTGGCAGGAAATTGTGTGTTCAAGCACAACTATTGCTTATCGTAAGAAACACTGTGAAAAAATATATTTTAAAGGCCTTTAAGTACATTTTTAATCAGTTTCCTTGTTCTTTTTCACTTTGACAGACTGTTTAACCAAAAAGACAACAAAATCATTTTCCACCTCACTTAAAAAAGTTTTGTTTTGTCTCTCCTTGTCTGCCACAATGTGCCTTCATATCTCCTATTATTAAAGAGAAGCACAAGCACATGGTGCACTCCTGATAAACAACAGAACCACTGTGTTGTGTCACGGCCGCTGAAGGCCACCCCAGCCCACTGACAGATGCACATTGCTCAGTTAATCTCAGACCAACACACGACACAACCGAACACACCGAGCATCAACACCTTTTCTAAATCCGACCGACGATCACAAACAAACTCTGTGTCTCTGAGTGAGAGTGACAGGTGCGAGTGTACTTTCGCGAGGCCGTCCAGAAATGAAGCTCAGCTCTGCTCGGGGTCGGGATTTTTTTATAGCGGCCTCCCAGCATTCACTGCTGCACTTCACACGCTGTGCATTTCGCCCACAGAGCAACTGGAGAATCTTATTCATGCTCGCAATGAGCCGAGGTCTGCAAACTGCAGGGGAGCAGAGAGAGGAGGGGCTGCGGCAGCGTGCAGGGATCATATATGTGAGAGCTGATATGCAGAGAGAGCGGACGAGGTCTGAGATTAACAAATGGTGGACATGGATGTAATAGCTGTATCTGTGTATCTGTTGTTGTACTGGCTGTGAAGGAGTGTATGAGACGTGGGTGGGAGGAATTGGACGCTGCTGTTCTTGTGCTTGAGTCTCTTTTGTCATTTGATTTGGAAAAACAATAAAAAAAAAAAAAGAAGATAAAAGCCGTGAACATCAGGTCCAAACCAAAACCAAAATCTGCACCGGGGTCTTCAGATTCTCTGACGATATTTAGCTTTGACCTCTTTACAGAGGAAAAAGAAAGGGATCATAACACTGAATGTTTCCAAAGCTTTTCTTTTCTTTCTGGGGCTTCAGAAATAAAAAGTACTTTCAAGTTGGACCGTGTGTTGACCTTTTTCCCCCTTTTGTTATTACAGGTTTGATTTAATTTATTAAATAATTTAATTAATAATTAATCATCTCTGCTTCAGCTTTGCCAATTCATCCATTTAGTTATTGCTATTAGAAAAAAATATTGTCTGTTATTTGTTTGATTAAATTGGAGATTTTCAAGTAGGTCTGTGTTTATTTAGTTTGAATATCTTTCCAGCCATGTCAGCAGCGTCGCTCTAGAGACAGAAGACTCTACGTCTTGGTTGTTATTTTACCTGAACTACACATTTCATTGTCATTAATGTGTTTTGACGAGGCCCATTTCAAACCACTGACAATGTTCCTCATGTTCCTCAGTGTGTTGCTGCAGAAGGTGGTTGATCTTCCTCTAATAAAGTCATTTGAAATAACACTCACATTGCTAATAATAAGATTAGATATCCCTTCATTAGTCAGGAAATTTGCAGTGTTACAGCAGCAACATGTACAGTTGGATATTTACTGTAAATATAAAGAAAAAACAAAAGGACAGCAGCAGATAGGTGATGTTACACAGATGGCGTGTTAAATTATTGCCACTGCTGCTGAAACCTGAATGTCAGCTAATCAAAATGCCAGTTTGGTTGTATCCTCATGGTAAAACTATTCCAGCTCCATCAGCTCAGCTAAAACCGAGCCGCCAGCGACCACAAATGTGCCCCCCCCCCCCCCCCCCCCCCCCCCCCCCCCCTCGCTCTGTGTCTGCACTTGGCTCTATTTAAATAGCACCTCCCGGTTCCACACATGGACAGGAGACAGGATGGTACAGGACGGAGCAGCAGCTGCTGTCGGTGTCATATGAAGAGGAGGGGCTCACAGTTACAGACGGTATAGGCTGGATGTTGCAATCCACCTTTAAAACAGTTGAAACAGCAGGACACTGCACGACCTCGTCACCTCAGACTCTCCCGATCTTCCAGAGTGCCGCAGCCTGAACTCACCACTCAAAAGTTTGGATTGTGCCAGAGTTTCTGTGAATGTGACCCTCTCGGTGTAACGATCACAGAGGCACAGAGCCATTAAAAACAAGTGGGAGGGTAATGAATTCAGTGATGTGCCAAACGGTGACAGAAAGAGGCAGAGTGGAAATAAAAACTGATCCATACACAACAGCGTGGAAGATAAAAAAAATATCTCATGTCTTGTTTTTACTGGTGAGCAGTGTAATGATCTTAGTAACACAGGCTCCAGACACTTTGTCTTATTAAAAAAATACATATTTACAGCTTTTTCTCAAAAATATAACAAAAAATATTAAATAAAACTTCATCCCCACAACAAGAGATGTGAAGAAGACAAAGTAAGTAAGTCTAAACAGGAAAACTCAACTAAAGTACATGTACCTCAAGAAAGAACTGGAGCCAACATACCGAGAAACTTTCAAACAAACAAATCAGTCGTGAACCGAGCGAATCGTTGGCATGAAAATAATCTTGGCTCTGTCTGCCGTCAAAAATATCTGGGACCAAGGTTAACGCAGGGAGCAGCTGCTCTGTCATCCACCAAACTGGGAACCGGACCTCAACCCCACCGCCACCCCCACCGCCCTCCACCTCCAACCCACCCCCCACCACCTGCACCATCATCATCATCAATGCAATCATCAAATCAATCAATCAATCATCAGCTGACAAAAATATACTGTAACCAACAACAGCATCTCCTTTCAAAACAACAGGATCCCAGAGGTCACCGTGTCCGCCTCCACCTGTCCAATCACCAACTTCAAGCACCTGGACGGTCGGTGCTGCCCCCATGTGCCCCCCCCCCCCCCAGGAGACCCAGGCCTGTTCTCTGCACATCCATCACAGTCACGACTGCAGAGAAGATCACAGGTGGACCTGCTCACCATCCAGGACTTGTTCACCTCCAGATTCAGGAAGCAGACAGGAAATATAACCACAGACCCCCCCCCCCCGGTCAACCCTGGTTCCAGCTGCTACTAAAACATCCACTTAACATGTATCCATCATTGGTTAAATAGAAATATACATTTACTGTGAATATATGTGTATACATGCACATCCTGTACATAACCACCTACTGTTTATATAAAAATCTAATTACACTACCCACTTAATATCTATTTCAGCAGAGTCCTTGTGCTCTCCCACATTTGCAGCTTGTGCAACGAGAAACCACTGGACACCAGAGTCAAACTCTTTATTTACACAAACATACTGAAGCTGATTCTGATTATTCTTCTAAGAGAAACTCAAGCCATTGGCCAGTTTCTAAAAAAATGTAACCAAACTCCAAAAGGTCTCAGATGTTTGTGACCCAGATACCCAACAGATACAGACACAGAACCTGAGGAATTAAAGTTGATGGTTGTCCGTGACGATCTAAGAGCCTGTGAGTTCACGTTATTTTGATTTACAAAAACCAAAAGCCGGATGCTCCTGTAGTCCTTTGGCACTAAAATGCACGAATCCACATGTGTAATAGATTACTGTGAAACCTCTTACTGTAAACATCCAGCTGGACAGAAATAGAGTTCAGTTTGAATCACTGCCAGCGTTTTGACCCAGATGGTTGATCATAACACGTGAGCTGCAGCTTCACCTTCTAGATCTCTCTGGACCCAGTTGCATCTATTTACATCCTCAACCTGCTCTGCCTGCAGCCCAGTCAACTCTTCTTTTGATTTTCACATTATTAACATTAAATTTATGTCTAATTCATGTCACAGTAAATGAACCTGACCGTGGCGCCTCACTGATCTCATGGATGTGTCTTGTGGAGAGAAGAAGCTTGTTTCATCAGTGGTTTTTAACAGAGATGGAGGCGAACAGAGAATGAAAAGAACATAATTACAGATTAATTTGCGGTTGCCAGGTGCTGATGCGTGTGGGTCTTAATTCAAACTGGAAAATAAACTGTTTGAGTGTGTGAGAAAAGAAGAGGGGTGGTAATCTAAGTACCAGGGGCCCTGACATTTTATTTTTAGACTTCGACCTCAGTTTGCCTGTGAATAAATCTGCTCTAAGCACTTAAGGCTTTACAAAGGAACGACACCTTCATCAAAGACGTGTTATCAACTACCAGCAGAGAGTCCAGTGGATGTTTTCCTGCTGTCACGAGACTGTTGTTGTTATTTTCTAAAGTACAACTGTGACTTCTGAGAGAACCAATAACATATTGTTCCACATACAAATGAAAAACGGATGTTAGCCAACTGGATATTGGCATATTTTTGAACTTTAAACAGAGCAAGGTTGACTGTTGTCCGCTGTTTCCATTCTTTATGCTAAGCTAAGCTAATCCCCTCCTGGCTCAGGGTCCATACTTTGACATTAACTCTCTGCAACAAAGTGAATGAGTGTATTTCCCAAAATGCCAAACCATTCCTTTTAAACCTGCGTTTTTGCCAAACCTGGAGCAACAGAAACAAGTTGTGATAACCACCTTTTGAATTGATACGATAAACTTATTCACCAACAATTGCCTTTTATACCTCCAACATTTACAGAGCAACATTAGCATTAATTTGGAGTCATGTTTCCAACCACATGATGATTTTAAGTCAAATATTCCCTCTCCTTTAGCTGTTTGTGATCTCCACCAACTCCTGAGAGAAATATCTGACTCTTTAGCTGCTAAACCCTCCACCATGGTCACCAGCTAGTAGAGCTGGGCGATTAATCTAATTTTATGTCTATTCTGATTTTATCTTCCAACGATTATAAAAACAAGATAATCAAGATAAAACGATTATTGTGCCGCATTCATCCCTCCCTACAAAAACCATCCCCTCCATCCACTACATGGTTATGTTTCTGTGTATGTTAGCAACATACGTAGAAGTGCGTCATCTTGAGCTGTTTTCAGAGACTTTCTATATATAGTCGGACCAGCCTTTACTTTCCTTGGAATGAGTTACTGACCGGAATATGTTGAATATCGTTTACCAAAAAGGTGAATATGTTTTGGGGTTTTCAGTTTATTGGTGCAGTGCACTAAAACATATTTGATCTAATTTATATTTTTTAAATTCTTATATTATATATTTAATTATTTATAGTTAGACAGACAGATAGATAGATAGATAGAGAGATAGATAGATAGAGAGATAGATAGATAGATAGATAGATGATATTTCCAAAGTAAGTGAGTAATCATGTAAAATAATTGTGATCTCAATATTGATGAAAATAATCGTGATTATGATTTTTGCCATTATCAAGCCAGCTAGCAGCTAGTCACTAATTGTGTCTGTCTGCTGTTTGTTGTCAAGTCAGTAGTGAACAGTTAGTTTAACAGCTTCCTGCTGCAGCTGGAAATGATGCTATGAGAGCAGTGTGAGGGAACCATCAGCTGAGAGACGCTAAAACGCTTCATACAACCGCAGAGTCCAGTCATAATTTGTCACTATGAGCGACCTCAGTAGCCATTGTTAATACAGAAATATTGATTATTGCCAATGAGACTATAGATCCTTAAAAATGACCATTCAGTCAACAACAACACTGACGATCTAAACACACCTCAATATTAGCTGAATATAGCTTTACAGAGCTGCTGTTAAATGACTGGCTACTGAGGAGCCACAGTCAAGGTGTTTCTGTTATTTTGTCCACCACCTGTATCTGTATCTATACAGTCATGTACACACATACAAAACACCACCCTGCATCCGCCCCCACCACGTCTATCACTTTGTGGCTGTAGCTGAATTCCATTGCTTATCTCATGAGGGTATTTATAGGTGCTGACCCACACAATATGTGTGTGTGTGTGTGTGTGTGTGTGTGTGTGTGTGTGTGTGTGTTTTACAGCTATGGAGTGGAAAGAGAATGACTTACACCCCCTGCAGTATTATAATATCCCAACAGCAACTGGCTTCAACTGTTTCACATTGTTTCCATTCAACAGTTAAATAAGTATTACTATGAATTGCCACTTTATATGATGATACCATGAGACGTGTATTATTTGATACATGGTTTCTGTTTTCTGCAGTCCATCAATGTTATTTTCAATGTCAAAAAATAAATAAGTAATTAAAACTGGGAGAGTGGAGATGAAAGTGCAAGTGAAGGTTTTAAGATGCAAAAGAGCATCAAGTTACAAACTCCTTTTATTCAAACAAGCTGTCTATGCAATAAAATGAAATGTATTTTACCTCTTTCTCCTGCCTGATTTCTGCTCTTCTTCCTTTCCTTTGCTTTCTCAGCGTCTCTCTTTGGACTTTGTTCTATGTTCTTTCTTTTTCTTTGTTGCTGTTCTCTCACAGGTTCCTCTTTGCTTCGTCCCTCCGTCCTCTGTCAGTCTGTCAGAGTGCTGTGTGTGTGTGTGTGTGTGAATGAGAGAGCCAGTATCAGAGGGAAATCAAGGGCCCAACCAGAGCTGTGACGTATGATTCAAATGCCCCCCCCCCCCCCCCCCCCCCCGCCCAACAAACCCTCCAACCTCCAGCACCGCCTCCCTGAGATCACATCACACCCTCTTCATTCAGTTTCCACCTCCTACCTCCCACCTCCAGCATCCACCTCAATTTCCAAATACAGGCAGCCCTCGTCGCCCACCCCTCCAAAAATATCCCAAAAGATGCCAGCTCTCTTCTCCCCCTAACCCCCCTCAAACACTCCTTAGTGGCCTTACGTTTTGGGTTTTAGATTTGGTTCCTGTAAATCTGCTATCTTTATTTTACTGTTAATTTTTTCTCACCAACAAACTGGAGAAACTTAAACTAAGAGTCAGTATATATGGCTTTAAAACATGTTATCTAATGTATCCCTGGTCACTAAAGTTACTGTAGGACTACTATACAGTTACTAAAGCTACTAATTTACACATATAGACAGGTACACAGATAATAATAATAATAATAATAATAATAATATTATAATAATTAATATTTTTGACTTTTTACAGACTTAACTACTGAACAATTAATCCTGAAATTAGTAAAAAGCATAATCCAACAAATGTTTTGTATTTTAGCCTGATGCTGACCATTAGTTTTCTTTAGCCAACTAATCAATAAATAAAGTTTTCGAATTTATGGTTCTGAAGGCTAAAAGTCATCAACATCTGCTATATGCTTATTATATATTTAAAGAAGAAAGGGAAATACTGTGTTTTTATTTAAATAATCCACGACAACCAAGTAAAACAGTAAACAGACTGTTCAAAAAACATTAAACTCTCATCTTACTTTTAAGTAATTTTTCTTGAAAGTAGGTATTCTGTTTAAAGTTAAGTTGTAGGCCCACTACAGCTAATTCAGCGTTTTCACTGACGTCAGACGAACAGGTCTTCCTGCGTGTAACGTCAGCTGCGTGGTGACGTAGGTCCGTCTTTCACAATTATTTCTTTTAATGAATTTTTCAGGTTTGTTCCTGTTTAAAGGGGAATAAATTAATCTTAGATGTACGTATTGAAGCTGAGTTATTTGACATTATTTTTAAACGTCTGTAAAACGCCTGTGTCCCGCCGTAGCGGACACAAAAAACTAACGGAACCTCTTCTTTTTTTCCTGTGTTCAGTCAGGATGAAGTAGTTTCCGGGCGACAGGGTACCAGCAGTAAACATGGCGGAGGAACTGCTGGAAACAGTGGACAGACTTCAGTCCCGGCTACTGGAGAACCCGGAGCCCCGAAAGGTAACGGCTGAAAAGAGGGACACGGACAGGTTTGGTCTTTGGCACCGTCCATGTGCCGAAAGGCGGCGGTTCGTCTCTGGAGGTCGAAAAGACGCTGCGGCCGCGACAGTTCCCCGAGAGTCGAAACGGTTTTTTAAATGTTGCGTTTACGGGCCAATGTCGGACTCCGACTTTTGGAAATCTTTGACGTAAAGCTGTTTTTTGGGTCGGATATACTACTCGGAGTAATCTTGAAACAACAGTAAACTTTGATTACAGTTAATCTGCACATTATTTCCTGAATTACGAAAAGTTAGAAAATAGCGCAAATAAATTCCCGTTATAATGACCCCCAGATCAAGTTAATGTATTCAAATTGCTTATTTTATTCCACAATCGGTCCAAAACCCAAATATATTCAGTCTAGTGTCATATATAACAAACAAAGCAGCTAATCCTAACATTTGAAAAGATGAAACCAGTGTATGTTTGGCAATTTTGATCAAACATAACAACATTGCTGATTAATTTTCTGTTAATTAACAATTTTTCTTTTTTTAAATATACCTCACTGACCAATACATTTACAAATAACAAAGCAATACAACCATGGTATTACAGACTGGTATATGTCTGAGTAGAATCAATACAGTTAAAAATAGAATACAGAACTTTCACTAAATAAATGATTGAAAAAAAAAAAAAAAAAACTTAAAATAGGGAGAAGAATAGAACTCATAATTATTAGAGTAAAATAAATAAATCACAGTTCTTTCTCATTTTATAAATTTAACTTTTAGGGACATATAGGGACTTGCGTCACTATAAAAAGCATTAGTCGGTGGAGTTTTTATGAATTCTTTGTGTGATATTTTGCAATTATGAGAATTTGTGTATACCAGTTTCTCTTCCATTACCAATCCATATATGTGATTGGTGTTCACTGTATATTTTAGTTTAATTAAAACATTCATCCATTTGCTTCTAATATAGTCAGGCAGTTTACAAAAGAAAAGCACCAAATTATCACTTTTGATAAGCTTTAATTAGCAGGTGCCTGAGTTTGGAATTTTTGACTGAAAAATTGTTGACTGTCTAATTAATCAATTAATCAATTAATGGCTGCAGCTTTAATACAGATTGGCATTAGTACGGCTGAATCAAAGAAATTTCATCATGTTTTTTATCAGTTTAATTCAAGCATTAATCATATAGATGTACAATATTAAATGATAAAATGAATCATAAATCAGAGGTTTCTAGAGATTAAAATTAAAATCATCCACAGTTTACAAATCAAATGATTTATCAATCAATTGAGAAAATGATCTGCTGATTAATAAATAATGGAAATAGTTATAGATAAACATGTATGTCTGGATTTTGGGCTCATATGATGCAGTAAAAATTAACTTCTTAACCTTAATACTTTGGACACTTTGTTGAATAAGTTTGAGTATGAGTCACTAGTGTTCATCTTTGAATCTCAACATTTCTGACAGCCCGTGAAAGCATCATGGGGACGTCACGATAATCAAGGGGTTTTAACTTGTTATAACGTAGTTGTTTAACCCTGCCTTTTAGCTAACACTTACACCTGTCAGGTACAACACCTGTCAACAGATCTTCTGTCACATAGTCAAATAACAACATTAACCACAACGTCATTTATCTTGTAACGAAACTCGAGGCCAGAGTAGCCGTTAGCCTTTGAGCTAACCAGCGTTAGTGCGGAAAGTAATGACAGTTACAGCGACTCCAGGCCTCTAACGTTAAACTGACTCAGGTTTAACTGAAGCCATACCACAGCTGTTCATCCCTGCTCTGAAGGTTGATGTTAAAATATTGGAAATTAAAAGCGAATAATAATGAAAATTCACGATGTCCGACCTTCCCTTTGTTTACTTTCCCTGCTGACATGTAGCAGTGCTTCCCAAAACAAACCACTCATGACCTGTGTGATAGGTTTGATCAACATGAGACATGATCTGGTTTCCACAACTAATGATTTTATTAAAAGAAAAAAAAAGAGTGAAATCACAGCTCAGTGATTTTACTAAAGCCCTGCCCCGTTAGGCCTCGACACCATTCAGTCTCCATGAGGCAGGATTTAGTGTTGGATGTACAGTAACACTGCATGGTTAATGTAACAGAGGGAATAATATCAAATATAAAATTAAGAAAAGGCTTATCCACTTCTTCAGTAACATAAATCCATCAGGTTTGATTTTCATCAGAGAGTTTCACAAGAAAACAAAATGTGAACATCTTAGATTTTCATGTAAATCATCCTGAAAGGAGAATTGTGGTTGAAATTGAAACCATTATGCATGCAAACAGTTATGTTAAATAATCATTAGGTTATATTCTGTAATGATATGCAGTGTCTTTTTTTTCTTTTTTCTTTTTTTAATATTTGAAAGTCTTTAACCGTTATTAGTGTGTCACTTCTGTGACACTGTGTTTTTAATTTAATATCACAATATTAATATAAATATTGTAATGTAGTAGTTGGTTATTATATAAACTTAAATATCACAATACAAATATATAAAGTAACTGAATAATTAGGTTTAAACTATATTCTATATACAATACTGTTCTGCCAACACAAATAAAATTACATTTAAAGAACATTTTCTGGAAAATCTGTTGAAACATTTTGCTATAAAATTAATGTAATAAATACTTTTTGGTTTGTTTCTCAAACAAATGAACCTATATAATTATATATATATATATACTATATATTAGATATTGATTGTACAACATTGTATATTAAAGGGACAAGTTGTGTTGGTGTTAATGTTGTGGGAAAGTCTCGGTTGACAACTTTATACGTCTCACTGTAAATATCATCATGTCTCCCTATCCATTATAATCATTAAAATGATAATTATTACTTTTCTTAAAGATTCTAACAGAAATAGCTGCTGTAACGTAACCACTTTGTTGCATTTAGAAAAATACTAAATTTAAATGAAGACTCATGCTTCTACACTAGAATTAACACTGAACATCAGGATTGTGATCAACTTTAATTTCAGAGCCTCATCTTTGAATGACAAGTTTTGTTTTTCTCTTGTTTTGCAGCTACTAAAGACCCTCAAACGACTGGGGGAACTTCCCATGACTGTGGATATACTGGTGGTAAGTATTTGTTGATTCACAGATCACATCCTCTTCATTTCCAAACTATCAGACATGAGCTCCCAGGATGGAACACAAGAACACAAACGCCTCGCTCATTCAGCTTTTTTGCTCTCGCAAGGTGATAACTGCTGTAAAAGTAAAATTAATAGAATTAAACCAGTAAATTCAGGCTTGTGTGTTACATATAAGAGCGATCTGTGTCCGTGCACTCACTGTCTTCTGTTCTCTCATAGGAAACTGGCGTGGGGAAAACTGTGAACTCTTTCAGGAAACATGAAGTAGCTGGAGAGGTAGTGAAAAGCCTCGTAGCCAAATGGAAGAAACTGGTTCCTCAGTCTGCAGACAGGTACTGTTGTGCATTCCTGTGCCTCAACATGCAAATAGCAGTAAGGTGTGGAGCGCTCCACGTTTTAGCTCTCATGTGTCTGTTCACTGTCTCTCTCTGTACACTGGAGATTGATTGGCCTTTTTGCTTTTGCGCTGTTCACTTGAGACTCATTATCACTGATTGCACATCACTTGGTTTGTTCTCTCCTCAGAGGAGGAAAGTGTTTTAATTTGGGCTGAACTATATGCAAAAAAAAAAAAAAAGATTCATATTGTGATTATTTTGGCAGATATTGTGATTGCAATATGATTCACGATTTCTGTTTAAATGCTCGTTTTTCCATTTTTGAATGCAATTTTCAATCAAAAAAATTAAAAATGATGATGTTGGGTGGTTAATTAAGCACCAACAATTCCTCTACTGCAAAATCATTTGAATCATTTTTTGAATGATTTTTAAAGCTGGTTCCAGCTTCTAAAATTTTTCTTTGTCACATACAGTATTTTGCTAAATTAATTCTTGAATGAAAATCTTTATGTTCTTTATGTTTGAAGAACTCTATGTTTATTTGAAAGCGTCACTTACGCTCTGAGAGTTTATGATGTTATCAAATCATCATGTTAGTCATTCTCAAGTAAAAATATCAAACATTTTGTGGTTGCAGTTTTTTTTAAAATGTGAGATCTTGATGATTTTTGTTGGTCTTGTACCAAAAAAACCATCATCACCATCATCATCACCACAACGCTGATGGTGCTAATAATGCACAACACTGTAGAGACACATTTTACCTTTTATCAAAGAAATTGCAGCTCCTGCGATTTGGATATCTCACTTGGACATATTATGATTTTGATTTATATTTCGATTTAATTGTGCAGCTCTAGTTTTAATAAACACTCTGAACTCACAGCGCTCCACATGTTTAGTAGAGAGATGATCCTCCTGGAGAACAGCAGCTTTCTCTCTGTAGATGAGACAAAAAAGTCATATATAAAGATAATAATCTGTCCATCTCTTTTTAAAGTGTCTGTTTCAGACAGTGATATGTTGTCAGCTGTCAGTAAACTGTAGTGCTGACAGGTTGTCTTTGATTTATCTAAAATGTCAAACAAAAAGCCTTTTTCATGCTCCTGACTTTGCAACTTTTCAGGGAAATTTGTCTTCAATAAAAGTCTGCTGTCCCCAGATTGAACAGCCTTATGAAATTGTCACCATGATGTCACCATCATCTAAAACTGATTAAAAAGTTGCCTCAATAAGAGTTTTTCTACAGTGAAGCAGGATTTATTCCTAAAGAACAAAGCCAATCTTTTGCCTTAATTTTCTCACCAGATTTGAGACATGATTTTTGAAGGATAACTTCTCATCAATCCAGATGCCAAGATATTTGTATATATGTACTTTGAGTAAAATGTTTTATATCTATGGTTTTATTGAGAGGGAAAATCCCGATAATGTGTCCTGACTGCTAACAAATTATTGATGTGAGTAACTAACCCTCTGAAAATCCTCTTTTACTGGTGTTGCTGTGACCACTGTTTTCTCACCACTGTCCCTCTCTCGTCAGACCCAACAGCCACGCCAAAGAGGCCTCCCGGTCACACACACACTCTCGAGGTCCAGAGGCTGGTGTTGGAGGAGGCAACAGACACACCCGGGAGCCCTCCCCCGAGGAGGAGCCCTCCTACATGGAAGAGGAGGAGGAAGAGGAGATGGAGGAGAGAGGCTACCACACCAACTACTCGCCCTCGCCTCCTCAACACGAGCATTACAGCCCCCCACAGCGAGGAGGATACCAGTCAGACGAGTACGAGAGCCCTGAGCCTGAGCCCGAGCCCGAGCCCGAACCCGAGCCCGAGCCCAGTCCTCCTCCTCCTCCTCCTCGCAAAGAAGTCCGCCACACCAAACCAAACAGAGAGCCCAGCAAGAACCATCACCACAGTGAGCGGAACAGGGACCGGGACGAGGAACGACGGCAACGCCACGCACAGACGAGCAGCGATCGAGGAGGAGGAGGAGGAGGAAGAGAGGGCAGTGAAGGAAAGAGACGTGCTGCAGACAGAGAGAGACAACAGAGCCCGGTACAGAAACCCGCCAAACACAGCAGGAAGTCCAACATACAAGAGAGCAAGAGGGAAGAGAAGAAGAGAGGAGGAGATGATGGTGAGTGTTAATGCAAAATTATATTTTAGAATATTCCCTTTTGATGGGATGGTGCAGCCATAAAAACACTGATTTTTGCATTTGAATATTTCACTCAGAGTAAACATTATATATCTAAAATAAGATTTTAACTTAAAGGGAAATACCACTGATTTTACACAACAAATGATTCTTTTGCTCAGCAGCAACCTATAAATAAATGGTGCCTCACATGTACAAAAATCAAAACAAGACTTTCTTCCTCTACGGTAAATGAGAATGCTTTGTACAAGTGTTTCTTATAGCATCATCAGGAAATAGGCCTCAAACAAAATTCGACCCATTCATTAACTCTTCTAAACTATGTATGATGTCATTGTGTCTTCTTAAAGCTAATTTGTTATAATTATACCAGAGACTACAACACAATATAAAGGATTTATTACTGTGGATAATGCAGTTACTTTGTGTTTAGAAAGCAGTTCTGTTAATTACAGATGACTTGAAATTGAAGCCTGTGATTGGTTAAACACTTTTGAGTCGTTTTGACGCTTCACAGCAGCAATTTTAACTTCAGAGCTTCACTGTTGCATTTGATCAAGTTGAATTCATTCTAGAAGCCAAAATATTGATTATGTGGTTATGAGATAGTTTGTTGTGCAGCAGAAGCTTTTTATCAGCCCAGATCACAGAATGTGGCAACAGCAGAGAAACATCCTGTAGCAGTGACAAAGACACTGCAGGTTCAGTGTGTGGGAACTGTGCCAACAGGAAATGACAAATTTAAAGACAAAAAACTGTTTCCATAACAACACTGTTAAAGAGTGACATTAACATTAAATTGTCTATTTGCTCATGTGTATCAGGATAAAGCATCATAAACTGTATGTGTGGGTTGTTTGACATAAAGCACCAACAATTCTGACACAATCATTTGAATCATTCTTCAAGCTTCTTTCATTTTTCTTTATCACATACTTAGCTAAATATATCTTGAAGTAAAATCTTTATGTTCTTTGTGTTTATTTGAATATGTCACTTTAGCCTCTGAGGGTTTATCACAAGCTTGTTTCACTGTAACAAAGAGTCAGTTAGTTTATTAGTTGATCATCAAAATGAATCAAAACTATTTTGGTAATCGATTTATCATTTTAGTCATGTCCAAACAAAAATACCAAACATTCTGTGGGTGCAGAATGTGAGAATTTGATGTTTCTTGTTGTCATTTGAAACAGTTAACTGAATATGTTTGAGTTTTGGACTGCTGGTTGAATAAAACAAGCTTCTTGAATACTTTATCTTGGGCTGTTTATTCAATTTTTTTGGATTTAATAGACTCAACTCAACTCAACTTTATTAATAGAGCACTTTAAATACAGCCAAAGCTGATACAAAGTGCTGTACATAATAACATAAAAACATAAAAACATAAAAAACAACAATTAAATAGCAAATAAAAAACAGTAAAAGCAATAAAACAAATGCCGTCTCATGCTGGATCAAAAGCCAAGGAATAAAAGTAGGTTTTTAGACGGGTTTTAAAAATGGACAGTGAGGGAGCTTGTCTAATGTGGAGAGGTAAGACAAAAAAATCAGTGTAAAATCCCAGTGTCACGCATCATACTTTTAACACGGATGAGGAGCCTGACCTCTTTTCTGCTTACCCCCTTATTTCCAGGGCGACCACGAGCGCCGAAGGACTCTCCATCCAAGGAGGAGGAAGAGGACTTTGAGACCCCCACCATGTCCTTTGAGTCCTTCCTCACGTATGACGCCCCAACATCTGTAAAGAAGAAGAAGAAGCCATCGTCGTCGTCCTCGTCATCACACAGTCGGCCGTCTCACTCATCATCCTCCATGTCGTCTTCCCATCATACACGCACCCCTCCGCCGCCTGTGACCTCCTCCTCCTCCTCCTCATCTTCCTCCAAAGTGAGCAAGGCGAACGGCACTCAAAGCACCAAGAGGCCACATTCAAGCTCCAGTTCATCGGCTGCTGCACCAACACCGGAAAAACGCAAGAGGGTAAGAACAGAGTTCGGATCGTAAAAACGTAAGAAAAAAGTTCATAAGACGATAATTTCTCATATTATTCTTTATGATTTTTCTACAGTGAACATGAATCCGTGTTTTACAGAGTCTAAGCGGTTTAATCAGTAATTAGGGCGAGTAGTTTGACAAAATTATAGTCACTCAACTCTCAACTCACTCACTTCAACCACACTTCACAGTCTTCATCAGGGGATTGAGTTTACTCAGGTTTTGCTTTAGAGTTTTTCAGTTTAATTTAAGTAGGGTTGCAAATAACTATATTTTCATTATCGATTAATCTGCTAATTTTCTTGGATCAATCGATTTATAGTTTTGTTACATAAAAAAACAGCCCATGATCATATACTTTATTCAACCACCTGTCCAAACTGTAAATATAATCAGGTGACTGTCATGCGACAAAGAAAAGCATCAGGCTGTTAAAGGACTGTGCAGCCCAGCTGGCTGAGCCTCTCCAGAGGATCTTCAACTTAGGCCTTCAACACAGGGAGGGTCCCGGTCCTGTGGAAAACATCATGTCTTGTTCCCAAAGTAGGACGACCGGCTGAGATAAATGACTACAGACCGGTGGCCCTCACATCACACGTCATGAAGACCCTGGAGCGGCTGCTTCTCCACCTTCTGAGGCCCGTTGAACATGCACTAGACCCCCTACAGTTCACCTACAAGGAACATATTGGAGTGGATGATGCCATCCTTTACATGCTCATGAGCCAGGTGGTTACATGAGGATTATGTTCTTTGATTTTTCAAGTGCATTTAACACCATCCAACCCCCAATTCTTAAAGACAAGCTGGAAGAGATGGGGGTGGATCCCTGCTTCACGTCCTGGATTGTGGATTACCTGACAAGACGACCACAGTTCGTCAGGCTGGGTAACTGTGTCTCAGGGACAGTGATGAGCAGCACTGGGGCTCCACAGGGAACTGTTCTGGCTCTGTTCCTGTTCACCCTGTATACGGCCGACTTTAAATACAACTCTGAGTCCTGCCACATCCAGAAATGCTGGGATGACACAGCTATTGTGGCGCGTATCAGGAACAGGCAAGAAGAGGAGTACAGGCATCTGACAATAGCCTTCAGTGAATGCAGCAACAAGAACTGCCTCCTTCTGAACACCTCCAAGACCATGGTCATGGACTTTCGGAGGTCTAGGCCCACCCTTCAGCCGGTCAACATTCGAGGGAAGGACATCGAGGTGGTGCACACTAAATACCAAGGTGTGCACCTGGACAGTAAACTGGACTGGTCCGTGAACACAGATGCCATCTACCTGAAGGGGCAGAGCCGACTCTTTTTCCTCAGGAGGCTCAGGTCCTTTGACATCTGCAGTGAAATGCTGCACATGTTTTATCAGTCAGTGGTGGCCAGTGTACTCTTTTATGCTGCAGTTTGCTGGGGTGGCAGCATTGACAATCTTCCATCTTGGACAATACCAACTATCCTCTCCACAACATTCTGGCAGGACAGAGAAGCAGCTGCAGCTGCAGCAAACGTCTCATCTCACTGGACTGCAGAACAGAGAGGTTCAGGAGATCCTTTGTTCCCACTGCCATCAGGCTATACAACACCTCAGCCACAGGAAGTGGACTAATCTAATTATTATTGTTTATTTATTACTAATTGTTGTTATTATTATTATTATTATTATTAACAATAAGCTAATGGACACATGAATTTCCCCTAGGGGATAAATTAAGTATCTATCTATCTATCTATCTATCTATCTATCTATCTATCTATCCATCCATCCATCCATCCATCCATCCATCCATCCATCCATCCATCCATCCATCCATCCATCCATCCATCCATCCATCCATCCATCCATCCATCCATCCATCCATCCATCCATCCATCCATCCATCCATCCATCCATCCATCCATCCATCCATCCATCTATCTATCAGATCGTCAAACTGAAGAAGAGAATGTTTGACATCAATTAATCTATTATTAAAACTGTTGAGATTAATTTTTTGTTGATCAACTAATTGATTAATGGACTAATTGTTGGAGCTCTTAAATTGGCAAAGTCTGGTCTGTTTAAAAAGTGAAATGCTTGCTTTTATTTTGTAGAATCATGTTTGTTTCCTAGCAACAGTAGATTACTCCATGGTCAAAGTAACTCAGAAACAAACAGTAACCTTTTAGATTTCAAAGGCCATATAACGTTTAGAGGTTCGAGTATATAAAAAAACATCTTTTTGAGAACAGAGTTAACAACATTAGTGTTATTACCTTTTAAAGGATAGTTAGCTTAGCTTAGCATAACAGCTGGAATGAAGGGGAAAAGCCTGGCTCCATCTAACAGTCAAGTCAGACTATCTGTTTCCACTTGTTTTATCGTTTTTTTGTTTTTTTTAATTTTGGGGATTTTCTGCCTTTATTAGACAGCAGTATAGGTAAGTCCAGTCTGTATGCTAAACTAAGCTAGCCATATTGAACAGACAGATATGAAAGCACAGTACCTTCATCTAACTCTCTGCAAGAAAGGGATTAAGTGTACCTTTAACTCGCTGTGTAATTTGATGTCTTTTCTCCACAGAGTTACTTTTAGTTGCATGTGTCTTATTTTTATCAAACCTTGATTTTGAATAGTTGTTTGCAGATCCTGCTTGTTGATGTAGGTCTGTTGTTGCGTGCAGGTGGTTGAGGCCGTTCCAACTCTGCCTGAAATCCCTCTGCCAGCAATTCAACCCAATTACAGACCTCTGCCCTCCATCGATGTCACACCGCTGTCCCCACAGAGACGTAAAGGTAACGCCCTCACCTTAAAATGAAAATGAATGTGGTGTTAACTCACCTGTGGCATGTTGAATCTCCTTTAAAGGACACAAAACTAAACAACACACAAATGTAAACTCTGCAGTTTTTCTCCCTTAGAGAAGCAATGTCAGGGATCTCCTCCTTTCTTCTTTGACTGAGGGCATCTATTGTTTAATCATTTTATTGCTCTAAGAATAAGCTTACAATAAAAAAAAAAGTGTTTTACAGCTGAACAGCTGCACTCCACTGGCCGGTTTCACAAAGACATTTCAGACTGGTCCATAGTGTTAGGCCAGTCTTAATTTTGCTCATAGACCAGTCTGATGTTAGTCAGACCATTTCATAAAAATAAAGATGGACCCATTTTGAGCCGAAAAGATTAGACACCTTACTCACAGGCTAACTCAGGCCTAAGACCAATGGGCCTCATTCACCAACCATTCTTAAGAAGAAATTCCTTCTTAAAAAGATTCTGACATTCACCAGTGTTTTCTGATTTGAGATTAGACCTTAGCTAAGAACAGAATCTATGCACACTCAGGAGTACTCTTATGTAGATTTGAGTGCTGACGTGTGTTATTGTGTTTTCGTTTTGGAATTTTCTAAACCTTCCCTTACAGTATCTCTTTGTGACTTCTGTCTGTGTCTGCACACGACCCTTCAGTCTCATGCCCTTTAAGGGCATTTACCTATGCAAATTAGGGCCAACTGGCACACGCTTTCAATTTGCAAGGAGATTGGCATTCATCAATCTAAAAGCACAGGTGCGCACAGTTCTGTGGTTTAAGAACACGTTCATGAATCTGACGAGTTTTCTTAAGAACTTTCTTAAGAACAACTTAAGAAAGAATTTAAGAAAATACTTGAGAAGATATTGGTGAATGAGGCCCAATGTTACCATGGTAACAACCAGTGACACCTGCACTGAGCAGTAGCACCCAACAACTACAAAAATAGGAAAACGTGGCTCATGTTTGTGGTTTGCTAAAATTGTTATGGACAGAGCAAAGAGTTTTTTATCAGCTTGATTCTGCTGAGATAAACAGAGCTGAGCGGTTGGACGCGATTCCTCGATTTTTTATTTTATTTTGAAAAAATAAATAATAAAATAATCAACCCAGAATTCATTGTACCACAGTCCAGCTTAAGAAAGTCAAGAACTAAACTGCATTGTGCAACAGATGAGTTTGGACGTCTATCTGAAGTCTGACTATATGTCATATCTAAGCCACAGCCAAAGTCTGTCTTTGTGAAGCTGGCCCCAGGTCTGAACGAACTTTTCACTTTTAATAGTGATAATTCTCCAGCGATGTCATCACAAAGTTCAGGCTGACATGGAGGTGAAGAGATGAGTCGATACTGATTGAATTTTCATGTAAAACTTGTAAAACACCGGTGCCTTTGCTCATTTTAGTGATTTAATTGTGTCTTTCTCACTTTACAGCTGTGAACCTCTGAGGCCTGAAGGCTTCTCTCTTGCTCAGATTATCTGAACATAACTTGTGTGTTGAACACCAAAATTTAGGTTTGACATGTACAAACATGATATATGTGTCAGACTCTCACTCCCTTCCTTCTTCACTTTCAGTTCCTGTCTACAACGACGAGGAGGACGCCGGGTTCACAGGGAAGCGGTTCAACTCCAAGATGGTGGTCTACTCAGGATCCAAGACCTCTTACTTGCCCAAAATGATGACCCTGTACGAGCAGTGCATCCGTGTGCTGCAGAACAACATTGATTGTGAGTGGAGCTGCTGTATTTAGCTGTGATTCAGATTATGAACAGCAAAGACACAAAACAGTCAACAGTCTCCCGAATAGTAATTCAAAGAATAATAATTCACTCACATGGCACAGCAGCTGTAACTTCATTCATTATTTAAATCTCTGATGTGGCATATTATTGTGCACCATATTAACTTAACAATCAAAAACTCCCACACACTGTTTGACTTGCAACAAACAATTTAAAGCAACTTTCAGATGGTCACATGGTTCTCCAACAATAAGGAGCCATCTTTAAGTCGGCAGCCAATTGCCTCATCCCACATGTGAAGTTGAAGATAATGTGACGGTTCGATATGTGGTGGTATGGATCACTTTTGATCAAAGAAACAGCTGGATTAACCTTTCAAGCTGCAGTTTTACTTTACTCCACACTTCGTCAGCTTCACAACAACACTTCCTGTTCCTGAGTCACATGTCGCTAAACTAACCAATCAGAGATGAGGAGGACTTAGACTGAATTAAATCAGAGGAACTAGAGAGTTGGAGATTGATTCAGGAGGTTACCGTAACTGTTTTTAAAGATGCACATGTATTTAAACTATTAAATAAGTAAATATAAACATTAATATGTAAATAGTTAAATATATAAACACTGTAAATATATTTTTAGTAAATTAACTTAAATATACAACATTATTTAAAATCTAAACCTTACAATAACAGTAAACCAATATCAATTCACGATGTGACACTTAACAGTTCAATACATAAAAGACAGGAAACTCCACATAGTGACAAATTGAATATGTGAGTTAATAAAAACATACTTCATTGTCAATCATACATGTATTCCAGTCTTCCACAGGGTAGATTATATAAATTTAATGTCCAGTGTTTTGTGCAACATCAACATAAAAATCAGGTTGCATGACAGAAGGAACCAGAAGGTTTATCCTATACATATTCAAATCCTTAGATAGGGACACCCTCAAATAAATCTTAGTAGGGCCTGTTGTAAAATACAAAGAAAACTATTTACAAAAGATATTTACAGAATATTCAGTGTAAGGAATCATAGAAACATCTACATGCTTAAGAGCCTAATTAATAATTAAATAATTAACTTTTTCGGCACAGCAAACATTAACTGTTGTACATAGATTCACGATGACCATCAAAGCTGTTTCTACATTTTTATTTTCAACAAATTTGTTGAAAATTTGTTCCTCTTGAGCAATTGTTCCCAGCCTTTTCCAACTCAGGGCCCACTTGAAAATCTCAAAAATGTTGGCGGCCCACATCTGACCCTGTAACAATGTGGAGCCAAATAATGCCAGGTTGCAAATATCTTTTAAAGATCACTTTGTTTTAAAACATTTAAAGAAATTAATTATATACATTTCTTTTTATATACATCTTTTCACCAAAATTGTTCTGTTTTGCAAACGATTTGTCGGCCCACTTGCAATAGCTTCGCAATTTTTTTCCCACCTTGTCAAATGGATTATTTTGGATTTGCTCCTTAAAAACATTAGTTTGTATTACCGCCTTAAGAAATTACATTTAGAAAATTCAACAGCAACAGTGCCCCCTTCCCCCCTTTAACCCCTGTGTCTGTAAAGGCCTGTAAATTTCAGTGGGTTTCTCTTGACACAATTTGTGATCGTCTGTATGGGAGGGGTTAGATTAACAGGAAATCTACACAGTCACTACACAAATGATTGAAAGTCAATATGAACTTCTCTGTGGTCATTTCCCAACCTAACACTCCACCCATCTGGTATCACAAGGTGGTTAAAACAAATGAACGCTGCTGCACAGTTGTGACCTCAGTTGTCTGATGTCTCTGTGATCTCTCAGCCATTGCTGAGGTGGGGGGCGTTCCGTTTGACATCCTGGAACCGGTTCTGGAGCGATGCACGCCAGAGCAGCTGTACCGCATTGAGCAGAGCAACCAGGTAAAACACACACACACACACACACACACACACTGATGAAATCTAGCCCTAAACCCTGACCATAACCATCACAATTAAATGCCAAACCCCAACCCTGTACCTAAACTGAACCTAAACCTGATTCTAACCCTAAAACCAAATCTTAACCACGTCACAGTCCTTTGAAGACCATGAAGACCTGGATAGACGACACACTACAAAAACATACAAGAGGCAAAACTAAAACCCACTGTTCACACTAAAGAGAATAGAACAAACACACACAGGGAAAGATTTCCAAGGAAACAGGATTATTTCTTCTTCTAGCTGAACATGTCACAGCTCGTCGCAGTGTGAAAGTTTTTCTGCAGAGGAACACACATAAAACATCTCCAAAAACTTGGTTCTGTCATTTTAAAATGAAACCACCGGCCTTCTTTGTTGGGTTTTACTATTTTTATTGACAAATAACAGAACAATGATTATTTTAAATGCCGCCCTCATCCTCTCTTTTCTGTCAGTACATATTTTATAGATTATGCAGATATTCCTTAAAAATAATTTGCTAAATAATGCCAGTTTGTACATTATGATGATGATAGTGATGGTGATGATGTCCTTGTTCAGGTCTGTAAAGTCTCTGTGTTCTAAAGAATCAATAGATGTGTGCATCATACTGAACACCCACAAAAATCTATCTGAAAAATCTCAAATTTAAGGCAAAGGAAGGTGGAAAAAACAAACAAAAAATACATTTCTCCGATTGACGCTGATGTCACATTCAGATATGACAGCGTCATCGTCTTTTGTATTACATTTAGTTCTAATTCCCTTTTACTTTTGAAATAAAAAAGAGCTGTAGTATTATATTTATGGGCCTGTAAACCCTGATTTTGTCTTCAAGTTTCCGCTCTCCTCTTCTTTCAGTGTTTTACGGAGGACTCTGATGAGCTGTGGATGCGTCACTGTCACCGGGACTTCAAGCGTGAGTCTCCGCAGGAGTACGAGTCGTGGAGGGAAATGTACCTGAGGCTGCACGACGAGCGTGAGGAGCGACTGAGGTTGCTCACGCAGAACATCACCTCGGCCCACGCCAACAAACCCAAAGGTAGGAGAAGTTGCGTCTTGACGTTTAGGTTGATAATTCTCCTTCAGTGTTGACTCACTGAGGCTGTGAAATGGAAAAAGTCAAAACATTATCAGTCAGTAGAAAGTGGAAAAATGGACGTCGAGCATAAGAATATATTGAATTTCTCGTTGTTAACCTTTTCCCAGAGATCCCCACTTCTGTTTACAAGCCTGAAAATAATTTTCCCAAAATAAAACGTTTACTGTTCTTCAACCATTTTGATTACAGTCATAATGCTGGTCTCTTTTGAAAGTCACTGCTTTAAATTTTGTAACCAAACAGTCAGAATGAATAGAAGAGATCCTGAACCAAAGTTACAGAGGGACAAACATGGTAGAAAAGTTCATTATTTCGGCATAAAAAAGAGAATGTAAGGCCTAGGTAGTGTACGGACAGGAAAAGTAATAAAGCATTTGCTTCATTTCATATTTTAATAGCCATTAAAAGTAGGAGTTGTAAAAATAATTTATAAATAAACTATTAATAATCAATAAATACTTCAAAGTTAAAAACAGCATAAAACTCTCATTATATACACCATTTATGAATACATTTATTAATTCATGAATAAATAATATAATTTAACGAGTTTTATGCTGTTTTTATAAATCTGAAGTATTTGTTGATGGATTAATCATTCATTTATAAATTCTTTTTACAATTCCTATTTTTAATGCCCATTGAAATATGAAATTTAGGAATTGCTTGCACAGATAGAGTCAGGAGGATTAGAGCTTTCAAACGGTGTACGATTTATTAAGGTTGTGTGAAGCACAGACCAAAACACACCTAAGATAACGTCCCATGGATGAGACGGTGTATTTTAAAATTATTAAATGTTTATTTCTGAAGGTGTTTGAATGGTCGTGTTGTGTTTCTCTTGGCAGGACGGCAGGTGAAGATGGCGTATGTAAATTCTGCCGCCAAGCCGCCGCGTGACGTTCGCCGCCGTCAGGAGAGGTTCGGCACCACCAGTGGTCTGTCCACAGCCGCCTCCAACGCAGCTGCAGCTCCCATTAAGTCAGTATAACATAAAGGATGTCGACATGTTGGCTTACATGTAGATTTAAAGCAGAACTTGGTGTCACACATAAGATACAGAATTTTACACACAGTAAATATGGGTTTTTATACATGTGTTAATGAAAAAGTAAAATCTGCAGACTGACTCCAAACCACAAAATTTATATAATTATTTACGTCAATCTTTGTATCCATTTTAAAGCATTTTGACCTGTGTTAGTGTGCAGGTGTTAACTGTAAATCCCCCCCCCCCTCTCTGTCCTATCAAATAAAAGAAAAAAAAATGCCCCCAAAAAGAAATTAAGGAAAATAGTTGCAGCTCCAAAAGCATTTTTTTTAAAAAAAAAAGTCCATTGCTCATTTTCGGCAGTTTTTGGTTTAGTTCAGGACTTCGTGGCACTTGATTGTCGTTTATTTCAGATTCATCAGACTCATAGATCGTCTCCCTCTTCCTGTGTCTTTCAGAATAAGACCAGCTAACACAGAGTATTCTGGTGAATCCAGTCGCTCCTCTTCCTCCCAACACAACACTCCTCCCAGCTCGTCCCGCTCTTCAGCACCGAGTGGAGGAGGAGCAGCAGGAGGAGGAGGAGGAGGAGGAGGAGGAGGAGGACACGTCACCCGGGACAAGCCACAGGTCAAAAGTAAGTGTGTGTTAACAGTCCTGATGGGATTTTGTAATATCAGTGTTTTCAAATCTAATTAATCATCTACTCTTGTCTCCTCCCTCTGAAGAAATCGCCCCCATGATGGCCAAAACTATCAAAGCGTTCAAGAACAGATTCTCCCGCCGATAGTGTGAAAGAGATTGAATGTATTTTATGAATTCCAACTGTGTTTTTAATTTAAGTTTGGTAAAATTTTACTGCACACACACACACAAACATACACACACACATACAGACCATGATCTTTACCCACCAAACATATCATATGAACTTAACAGTATTGGTGGAAAATGGTTGTTTTTTTTTTTTGTTGTTTTTTTTTTTTTTGTTTTTTTTATTTAAGTGGTGGCATCTGTTTTTGGGGATCTTCAAATAAGTATTTAAATCATGAATGACAGTCAAAGGGTCTGACGTCTGTTTTAAGATAATTGAGTCGCCAACTTTTTATAGGATGCAAAAGGACACAAACACAAAGTCTGTTACTTTTTCTTGTTTTTTTTTTTTTCTTTTTAAAGATTAGCCAGTTAGCTTAGCATGAAGAGTGGAAATGGGGACAACAGCTCGCCTGGCTCTGTCCAAAGTAGAAAAAGATCTGGCTACCAGCACCTAAAGCTCAGCTATTTACACGTCATGTCATCTTATATATTAAGTGGTTGTTGATATTAACGTAATTCAGTCTTGTCAATATTGAGATGCTGCATATTTTTGTTCAATTTAACAAGCACAGCAGGGTCACAGTTTCTCATCACCTGTGTCAGGAGTCCGCATCTTCATTCTGCTGCGCTCCTGTTCACCTGATGGATTTTTTTTTGGTATTATTCAATCTTTAAGGGTTATTTAAGAAAATTTAACTCCCTGGTACAGCTCATCAGAAATTATTTGACCCTTCTGTGCCTGGAAATTTAACTAAATTAATCTAAATAATGTCAGGTACTTTCTCTTTCTTTCGCCTTTTTTAAAGAATTAATAACGTGAATAGAAACAACCACTTATATGAAGTAGCATCCGTTGAGCAGCGCCACCTACAATCACATTATACAGGATGTGGTGTAGTTAGCTGTTTTCCAGTCTTTATGCTAAGCTAAGCTAACCAGCTGCTGGTTGTAGCTTCATATTCATGGTGCAGACATGAGAGCAGTCTCTATCCTCTCATCTAACTCTCGACAAGAAAGGAATAAGCGTTCGTCAAACTTTTACTTTCATGGGAGGAAAGCAAATACTCAATCTTTGAATTTAAAGATTAGTCCTTTGTTACTTTTCTTTATGGCCAAATGAAACACTACACTAGAAAAAACCTTTACACACTCTTGTTTTGTCTTTTAATTGCATGCATGGTGCACGTCAGCTGCAACATTAAGACTCCACCTGAGACATCGACGGGCTGGTGAAAGACTCTGCTTTTTAAAAACAAACACGTGCATATTTAAACATGTTTTGGTGCATTTCTCAATGTGTAGGTCTAAAGTTATATCTATGAACTACACACACACACACACACACACACACACACACACACACACACACACACACACACACACACACACACACACACACACACACGCACACACACACAAAAACACACAAACACACACACACACACACACACACACACACACACAGAAAAACACATTCTAGACTTATTTTAAACCTCCTGTGGCTTCAGACCATGTTTTCCTGCTGTCGAATGTGTGCGTCTCTCTTTCTATCTGCTTCACTGTGACAAATGTGCTCGAGTGACGGCTGAAAAGATGAAGAAGAAGAAAAACAACAATAAGGAAATAAATTGGTAGGACGTCTGCAGCTTCAGTCTACAATGATGATGATGAGATGTATTTATTTTCAACACTGGGACCTGGCACCCCACAACATGGGCCCGAAAGGAAGTAGATTAAAAATTGTAATTTTATTAGATTTTAATAAATGTTATATGGTCATTTTTATTAAAATTGACTTTTTGCCCTTGAACTGTCCCCATCTCTTCTTTTAAAATACCAATGAGTGTCACCTTGTATATGTGAATTTTCTTCATAAATGACTTGACAAATTAAAAAAACCTGCAGAGGAGATGCATTCACATGGACAAATAGTCACAATAGATCTGTCCTTTGGGTCACAATAAAGAGGTGTAATAATGATTTACAGAAATTACTCCAATGTGCCTGAATATTGGGTTTTCCCTTGACTCTGAGTGTCTCTCTCTCTCTCTCTCTCTCTCTCTCTCTCTCTCTCTCTTTATATATATATATATAGTTTTACATTTGAATCTGCCAGGAGTCTCCAAATTAAAGAAGTATTTCAGACTGTCCTTTGTTCTCATAAAACTTCCACACATGATTCAAGACGCTATTTCAGGCTCAGCAGCAAAGTGAGGGAGGAGTGGAGTACAAAGCCGGCATGCCTTCAGTGAGGGGCCGAGACAGTT